GAGTTGAGTATTTGCTGCTCTGTCGAAAAGTGAAAAGAATTTCTGCTTGCAAGGATTCTGATTCCCTTTCTTTTTTCCTTATACAAAAACCTGAATACTTGAAACGAATCCTTTTTCGTTTTAATTCCTTCTCCTGAGGTTGTTTTCCCTTTCGCATTGGCCAAAGCCTCAAATATTTGATAGCGTATCTTTTTTCCCTTTTACATAAGTAAATATATTTGAAATATTTTCCATCGGGATTTCGCTTGGCTTCGACGCAATCTGAGTGGTTTCTCAAGATGGACTTTAAAAAATCACATTTCTGGGAATATTTTTTGGGCGAAAGGCCACATAAAGTGCCTAACAGCTGGCGGTTATTTTTGTATTTTGTTCAAATTTTTGTTATACGATTATTTTTATAAACTGAATGTTGACAAAAGTAATTAATTCCAAGAGCAGCTGTTCCATGTTGATCTTACAATGTTTTCATGCTTATTTGCCCAAAGTCAACAAAAGTAACTGCGTTGATCAACATGGAATTAGGTAAACTTTAAATGGAAATGGCGTCACACAATTAACCAAAAGCTGTTCGAGCAATAACAATAGCTTACGTGAAAGTTTAAGCTGTGAATTTTCATTGGAATATCCAATATTCTTAAAAATTGTTATATATATGGAAGCAAGAGAGGTTTTTCGTAAAGCTATACCAAATGAAAATCCTGTCAGTTCTAGCAAAAGCAAACAAGTAAGAAGTTCTAGTCGGTAGCTCCCGACTACCCTGAACCCTCTTCTTTCAACATCAAATGCATATATATATTCTATTCTAGAAGCTATATGTCAAGGTTGGTGACTCTAGCTCTTATTATTTACCAAAATTGCCCAAAAAACAGGATATCGATATCGATATTTTTATCGATTGCTTGGAAACGGGGTAAGTTATCGATTATCGGAAACAAACTCGATCTGCGCAGACCTACCCTCAGGTCTTTAGCTTTTATAGGCTCTGAGATCCTTGCGTTCATACATACTGATAGACGGACATGGCTAGATCGAGAATCAAGAATATATATACTTTATGGGATCGGAGATGCTTCCTTCTGCCTGTTACATACATTTGCATTTTGCACAAATACAATATACCCTTTTTTACCCATTTTTAATGGGTTCAGGGTATAAAAATGTAACTGCAACCATGCCAGGGACCCATAATTGTTCGCTGCCCGAACTCGTTGAGAATTACAACGACGAAAGAACAGCTGACGCTCATAACTGTTAATCTTATAACATGCACAGATAATGAGAATAAAGCAGAACGGTAAAATGCAAAAAAGAATAACAAATATGCATAACTTTAATGCAGATTTAATTTCTCCGATTTCTGTGAGCCGTACACGACCTGCTAATTAAATGCGCACAGGCGCGGCACATGCGGACAGTTATGAGGGGTGGGGTGGGGTGGGGTGAGGTGAGGGGCGTAATGGTTACTCAAATGGTGGGCGTGTCCAAATCGGCTGCTTAAGCAAGAAATCATTTTATTTGAAAACTTTATTTCCACTCTGTACTTTGGGGCTTTTGTCGCCGTGTGTCGCATTGTTGTTGCAATGTCAACGAGAATAACAACAACAACAACAACAACAAGTACAAGTACAGCAATAAAAAGAAGAGCAACAAAAAAAGAAGAGCAACAAAGCGACAGGCGCAAAGCACATGGCAAAACAGCAACAAAGTTTAACTGTAACAATAACCAAAGTCAAAGTTTGTCGGCAAAGTTTTTGTATTTGCTTAGCGTGTGTTTGTGTGTGTGTGTGTGTGTGAGCGTGTGCCTATGTTTTTGCCTGTGTGTGCGTGTCTGTGTGTCAACTGTGTCGGAACATCTACGGGAAACAAATTCATTTCAATTGTTCATTTGCCTGCTGCTACATACACATGCAAGCATCTGCATGCATACACACACACATGCAAGCATATGCATGCATACACACACATGCAAGCATCTGCATGCATACACACACATGCAAGCATCTGCATGCATACACACACATGCAAGCATCTGCATGCATACACACACATGCAAGCATCTGCATGCATAAACACACACATGCGAGCATCTGCATGCATACATACATACATGCAAGCATCTGCATACATACATACATACACACATGCATACACACATGCTTGACTGTTGCCAGAAAATATTCTGTACCAGAAATAGCCAGAAAATGTACCAAAAGCACATAACTCATATTGCAAGTCCCCCAGATGGGCATGGCCAGCTCAGAAGAGGCTTATCCTTTCGATCACGATTATATAGTGAACGCCTACTGCCCGATATACACATTTTCACAAGCCCGTCATACCCTTTGTGTTCAATAGGTGTAGGGCATTAAAAGTACCTCTGCGTGCAGTGTACCATTGCATAAATCAAGTAACAGTTTTGGTACATTTGCAGCAGATGGTCTGGCAACCATGCGAGGGAATTTTTTAATAAAATGCCAGTTCGGAACTTAAAGACGGCTGCTGCTGCTGCTGGCGGCGGCAGGGTTGCCACCAGGTCATCTAAACGCTGCCCACAGCGGTGGCAATACCTGCAGCTTTTGACTTGTTGCCACATTTTCTTTGTTTTTCTCAGACAAACAAAAAATTTTGCGTTTACTACTTTTGCAGTTGTTTAGCCCAAGGTCTTATCGGCTTGAACAACAGGTGAAAATCCTTTAAGTTGTTGTTCTTACACACGATTAAACCGATTGAAGATGCGAAAAACGGTTGGATTATTTGCTTGTGAGCATATGTTACAGTCTGAAGAAGGCATTCATAAAGTGAATATATTACAGATCAGAATAGAGGCAAAAGAGAAGAAACATCAAATGATTACATATATGCTAAATCATATATATACATATATATGCTCCTATATTCCACCCAAGTCGAGTACATCCATTCCATTTCCAAAAGTTCCATGAAATGCTTGTAATAACTTTGTAATTTAAGCATAAATCAAGAACTAAATGAGCTATTGTATGTAGGCTCTCGTATAGTGTACACATATTTGGAATATATTTGAATTTTTGAATACCTCCGTTTCTACATAAATTGATAAATATAAAAACCTCATTAGCTCCTAGCATATGCACATATTTGAATGCCCTATGCTTGCGCTGAAGATATCATAAAGATCGGACAATAAATACCGAGCAACACATTTCCCAAAGTGGGGTGGGGTAGAAACAAGAAGAAGCACAGCTACAGCATGTGTGTGTGTGTGTGTGTGTGTGTGTGTCTCTATAAGTACGTACACCTACAAATACCCAAATATATGTATATAGAAGGAAACTAGATTGTTTAAAAGGGCAAATCGGCGTTATGTTCGGGTTATCCTATAAACCCGCCCGACCGACCCCCCCCCCCCCCCCCCCCTCTCCCCCACCAACAGCTTCACATTTTTTTTCAGTGCAACTTTTGCTGCAACAAGCACCAAAAAAAAGTTGTCTGAAACAAACGAGCGAAAATAATTCAACGAGAAATAAAAAACTTAATTAAGCATTTTGTTGAACAACATTTGCCATGAAATAAATCACAAAACAGTTTAGGAACGGCAGCAAATGCAACTGAATTGAGTTATAGTGTTGGAAAACACACTTTTAATGAACATCATACACCATCCAAGCTGAAGCAGCGACAAATTTATTAAAGTTCATTTGTACTCTGGGTAAGAGCATCATTTGCGGCTGCGAGGCAGCATTGCAATCGGGTAAGCGTTAGGGCATTACCCGGCCTTGCACGGCCTAGGCTCGTAATCACACATTGGTGCACAACACTGCCAGAAAACTGTCTTAACATAAGTTTCATTTAACTCTAAGCCTTGCTAAATTTACATTTCCAAGCACACAAAGTGCAGCTAAGAAATTTCCACAAAACCAAATGAATTTTTGGGGAATTTTTGGGGATTTTTGCGTTCATAAGTTTACCAACAAAACACGTCATCAATTGAACAGCTGTTCCCAAATGCTTTCCATCGACGACAATTTGGGTATATAAGACCCGATGTGATGTGTAGAAGGCATCCGAGAGTTTCATTGCGGGTTGTAATACAAAATGCGCGCTTCTATCCTTATTGCTCTGCTTGTCTTGGTCGCTGTGGCCGCTGCCAAGCGTCCTGGAGGAGGTCAAGGAGCTCAAGGAGGTCCTGAAGGTCCTGGCGGTCAGCAGGGTGGCCCGCAAGGAGGTCCTCCAGGAGGTCCTGCCAACTCCACATCTACAACGGAAGCTGGCGATGTTGCCAACACAACAGAAGCTGATGCAGCGACTTCTACTGATCTAACATCCAAATAGTTGGAAGATACCTCGCATTTTTACATATATGTATATACTATTCAAATAAAAGTCATCTAAAGCTTAAAACTTCCAAACAGATATCATTATATACTTTATAGAGAGAATCAAAAGCTATGAATGCAGTTGTACTTAAAAGTATAAAGATTTTCAGTCTGATCTACAAGGCAACTGTAAGAACTATATATGCATAATATATATATTTATATTCATTACGATCTCTATTTATGTCTATATCTAGTGTGACGATCTCTACAATCTTAAGATCAGATGCTTCCAATCAATTTCAAAACTATATTGGAAAGTTTTCAGTAAAAGAGCTTAAAGCTTGAAAAGCTTTTCTATCGATTCTTGTAAATGTCCTTGTTACTGGACTTTCAGCTAATATTCAACAATATTTGTTCAAGTTCACAATTAGGAAAATTCAATTTGAGAAATCCAAAGCTGAGCTTTTAAAGAACTTCAAACTAGTTCTCAAAGCTGTACATTAGGAAATGCTGAAATTGAATAAAAGTTTTATGACAACTTTTTTCGCCAATTTTCCACATTTGCGGGCAAAAAAGGCAAGGGGAAGGACAATCGACATAGCTTAGAGTCTCTCTATATAAACAAAAGTTTACGGTGTGCAGCTGATATTTAATTCAAATTAAATGCTATAAGTATATACAATAAGTTTAAGGATCTGCCAATTATTCGGAAGATGTAGTCGAAGCCGTCGAAGCCTCTGCAACAGCTTCTGTTGTGGTAGAAACATCGCCAGCTTCCGTTGTAGATGTGGAGTTGGAAGGACCGCCTGGAGGACCTCCTTGAGGACCTCCTTGGGGACCTCCTTGAGGACCTCCTTGCGGACCTCCTTGAGGACCTCCTTGCGGGCCACCCTGCTGACCGCCAGGACCTTCAGGACCTCCTTGAGCTCCTCCAGGACGCTTGGCAGCGGCCACAGCGACCAAGACAAGCACAGCAATAAGGATAGAAGCGCGCATTTTGTACTATTTCCCGCAATGAAACTCTCGGATGCCTTCTACACATTAAACCGGCTCTTATATACCCAACTTTTCGTACGAATACTCGAAACACAGCTGTTCAATTGATGCTGTGTTTTGTTGGCATATTTACGTCACATGCCGCATGGAAAAATGGCCCAAAATTCATTTGGCATTGTTATTGAAATTTCTGACTTGGAAGTGGAAACTTAGCAAGGTCAAGGGTTTAATTGTTGCAGGAGTCGTATGCAGACTCAAATGAGGTCTGGCATTCTTTTAAACACGCATATCGCATATGAAACTTTTTTGTTTACCATCCAAACTCAATTTCAAAGTTCTTTGTTCAAATTCATTTGAGGCGTGTTTCACACTTTTTGAAAAATCCATGGGAGTCAAAGATTTGGTGTTTGGCCTTTTGCCTGCAAATTCATTTGCATGGATCTACATAAAAAATCATTTGAGACGTGTTTCACATTTCTTTGCAAAATCGAAGCTTCTTCGGTGGAAAGTAATTTTTTGCGGAATTTTCAGCTGTGTTCGATTTGCATCAAACTCATATTCAATGCTCTATATGAGAATAAAATGAATATGTGTTTCAGCGATTTGGGAAATTCCAATCGAAAAGTTTCAAAATCATTTTCAAAGCTATTCGAGAACATTAATTTTATAGCCCAAGTGCCACGGGCAAGGCCGGGCTATACGCGCTAGTATATTATATATTATGAATCATAAACTGTCCAAACTTTTAAGAGCCTCTCTTCGAAGTGCTTGCACCTGCAGCACAGTTAAGTAGCATGGCCACGCCCACACACACACACACACACACATTATTGGCTGATTGTATTGTGCAGATAATTGGAAATTTGGCGAACATCTATTCTGGGGCCCCTCGGCCGCTAGCCCTGAATTGTTTGCTGGAAAATTGTTTGCTATTTAATTTTATTTGGTCAATTTGCGACAAACAACATGTTAACTTGTTGTAGCACACCCAACAGCAACAACAACAACAACAACAACAAGCCCGGCCAACACAAGCTGCCAAATGCTGTGGCGACAAACTGAAACCTCAACGAAACAGGACAACAACAAGGACAAAGGATTATAGGTATTAAAAGTTATAAAACAACAAGATTATGGGTTTAGCAATACAAATACACAAACAGTACGCTGTGTGTAAGTGTATGAGTGTGTGTGTGTGTGTGTGTGTGTGTGTGTGTGTGTGTGTAAGTGTGTGTGTGTGTAGCCTCCACTTGTTATGATATTGACCAAGAAGAACGACAAAAGCAGAAACAAGCACAGGCACATGGCAAAACTAAAACAAGTAAGAGGCTCTAGTCGGGAGCTCCCGACTAGGAGATACCCTGCACCCTCTTCCTCCAACATCAAATGCATATATATATTTTATTTTAGAAGCTATATGTCAAGTTTAGTGACTCTAGCTCTTATTATTTACCAAAATTGCCCAAAAACACGATATCGATATCGATATTTTTATCGATTGCTTGGAAACGGGGCAAGTTATCGATTATCGGAAACAAACTCGATCTGCGCAGGCCCTAGGAGCACCTACATCTATTTCAGGTCTCTAGATAGGTCTCTCAGACAGACAGACGGACTGACAGACAGACGGCCATGGCTAGCTCGACTCGGCTATTGATGCTGATCAAGAATATATATACTTTATGGGGTCGGAGATGCTTTCTTCTGCCTGTTACATACATTTGCATTTTGCACAAATACAATATACCCTTCTTACCCATTTTTAATGGGTTCAGGGTATAAAAAATAAACAATAAAAAGCAACGAATATGAAATGCTCTTTTTCTTCATTTTTGTAATAATTGAAAAAGAAAATATTTTTTAAAAAAAATATCTCAGCTTTTAATTGAAATTCGAAATCGAAATTTGAAAATATTGCATGTGAAAAGAATTGTAAGATTTAAAAAATAAAACTTTTGAAAATACTCTTAAGGAAATAAAATACTTTGTTTAAGTTAAGAAATAAAAAAAATTACTTAATTCTTTGAATCTTTCGTAACCCTTTTACATATTTAATTATGAACTTAGGCAAAAATCGAAAAACAGAGTCGTTTCTATGCCAAAGAACTTTTGATATTTTAGTTAAGATACTTATCCTGAAACATCATGGTTTCTTGTAAAAAGTCATAATATCTGTAATATCGTCTGAATTTTGTTTCGCTCAATGATAAAGTGCACAAACTAGGCATAACATTCACTTGTAGCGTATTATAACAAGAAAAACATTGCTGGAAATCCAATTTGCCAACAATTCCCACCCTCATAAAGGACCAAATGTAACTGTCGGGAGGGTTTAGCCAGGGACGTGGCTAGAAGGGGGGCGTGGGGGCGTAATAACATTTGCAGCTAACATGCGTGTGTTAATTATTTTTGCTGGAAACGGAAAAGGCAAAATTAGCTGAATTAGGGACATTAAATCTATTATCAGACAAGTTTATCTCGTCTTTTTGGCTTCGGGTTAAGTGTCAATTTGGGCTGACTTTGGGCTTTGTCTTGTTTACCAAAAACGAAAGTGGGCAAGGAATTAGTTAGTTTGCCAAGTTATCCACAAATGAATCCATATTTATTTGCCTGTTGTTGCAGCTTTTACAAATTGAGGTTAGGTCGCACAAAGAACAGGAACAGGAACTTCAATTTGCATTTGCAGTGTTGTAAAACAAATTAGAAGTTTGCTTTAAAAGTGAGTTGAAAGTGAATCACAATCGATTATACTTTTGAATTTTGTCTGATTGATGATTTTGCATTTGCTAAACGTTCGAAAAGGAACCTTGAACTAGTTCAAACTAATAAATATAGTATTTAGTGGTTCAGTTTAAATTAATTGTGCAGTGTTGTAAAACAAATTAGAAGTTTGCTTTTAAAGGTTAGTTGAAAGTGAATCGCAATCGATTATACTTTTGAATTCTGCCCGATTGATGATTTTGCATTTGCTAAACGTTCGAAAAGGAACCTTGAACAAGTTCAAACTAATAAATATAGTATTTAGTGGTTCAACTTAAATGAATTTAGCAGTGTTGTAAAGAAAACTAAGACTTTGATTTTATAGTGAACTATTGAAGTGAATTACAATATTGGAACATTTCAAATATCGTGAAAAATGTTCATAATTTTCGCAAAATCAATTCCTTCTTCGTGGAAACGGCGATCAAATATTTTGGAGCGTAAAAGAATCTTGTAGAAAATTTGTTGTTTCAAGTGTGTGTTTCGAACTTTTTGCAGGATCAGTTTGAAATTTTGTCAGCTTGTCATTCTTTTCAAAGCCCCAAAAAGCAACTTAGTGAATTTGTGTTCCAGCGATTTTGGCAATTCCACACGCAATTGTGGAAAATTGGCGGAAAGCGATTGTTGAAAAGGTATTTGTTAACATTTTGAGCGAATTTAAAATCATTTTCAGAGATTTACGTAAAAATTTAGTTAATTTTCATTGGGGGTGGAATTAGTTGATTCCAACTTTTGTGAATTTGAAGCACAAGACTTGCCACGGGCAAGGCCGAACAACTCAACCGGACACTTGTTGCGATTCAAACTGGTCAGCTCGGACTTGAATATGGTCTATTGATTCGATTTTCCATTTGATTTTAGTACTTGTTGGAACTTAATCATGAACCGAAGCCGAAAACAAACTTAACAAAGTTAATTTCATTTGGCCGAAGGCGTCTATTTAACTGCTGCTTAAGGGGTATAACGACTTCTCTCTCCCTCTCTCTCCCTTTCGCCCTCTCACTCGCTCCTCCTGGTACCTTCTGTCGTCCTTGTCGACATTTCAATGCCTTTTTAATCTAGAACAAAAGCAAACTTAATTTGCCACAACATCTCCGATGGGCGCTAGAAAACCCAACCACTTTGTCTGCTTCCCAGCAAGGAAGCCGCCCACCCCACCCCACCTCACCCCACCCCCCCGCTTTCACTGCTCCCGCTCGCTTGGAACTCCGTCTATATAACTCCAGCAAGGACGACGTCACTTGGCACATAATTTAATTACAAGGGGAAGTTGGTAGCTCCCTGGTCCTGGGCCTGGGCAAATTGTTACTTTGATCTGCGGCCAGGTCCTGGCACTCGCTGCGAGTGTTGAATGAGCAACAACTTTCGAGTGCAACGCGTCCTGAATTGTAATTAGCTGCCTGTTACGGATAGTCTAGCCCGTGTAGCCGGCCGGCTGCTTCGTTCACTTGATTTGTGGAGTGCGCATTTGTAATTGTTATTACGTGTTAAATGCAAAAAGTGCCCAAGTTCCAGGACGCCAGGACGCCCGGACTCCAGCTCCAACTACAGTTCCAGTTCCAGTTCCGGCTTCAATTCAGTTTTCAATTTTCGCACTTAAATGCGTTATCGACGCTAATTGCTTAACGCTTGGCGCGTGCTTTGATTAATTTCCAACAGCTTTATTTAGCCAAGAACTGCATTAATCCTGCCTGAAAGTTTCACGTAGCATTTTCTCTTATTTATCGCGGCATATCGATTATTTTTAGCCTTGTTATCGAAAAGAAAACAACATGTTTATCGATACATATCGATTCTTCTTACGCTTGATTAATTTCCAACAGCTTCATTTAGCTCAGAACTGCATTAATCCTGCCTGAAAGTTTCACGTAACATTATCTCTTATTTATCGCTGCAAATCGATTATTTGTAGCCTTTTTATCGAAAAGAAAACAACATGTTTATCGATACATATCGATAATTCTCACGCTTGATTAATTTTACAGATTTGTGAGAATAGTAAAGCTTGCAAATGCTGTGCTTGTTGCAAATATCTTGCAAAGCAGAATATATCTAGATAAAAACTCATAAGTCTTATCATAATATACTTAGTCGTGCAATCTTTTTAAGACTTGGGTTCATATATTAGCAGAAAATCATTATAAAATAAGTTGTGATCTTGAGAAGTTGTTCACAACTTTCAGAACTCAATCGTCAATCGATCGTTCCTATGGCAGCCATATGATATAGTGGACAAAATTCAAGGCTTCAAAAGCTTTCAAACTGAGAGATTAGTTTGCATAGAAAACAGACAGAAGGACGTGGACACATATCAACCCGATTGTTGATTTCTCTTATGGAATATAATAACTTTATGGTTTCAGCGATGTCTCGTTTTATGCGAATCACATTTTGGAGATAACAATTAAAATGCCCTCTACAAAGGTATTTAAATATTTTCTTCAATTGTAGAAAATATTCTTCTTTACGCTTTTCGTACGATTTTAAGACAATTATCGTATCCCATGAAATCCCTTCATTCATTTTGATGGTCAATTTCTCGCACCTATTTCTTGAGGAAGTTAGAAAATATCGGCCAAACTTTCCTTTGGTTGCAAATTCTTTCAGAGTTTCGAGAACTTGACCACAAATTTTTTTCAATTCGAAGAAAACTTTTGAATTTAGCTGCGTTCACATAAAAAATGTTCTTTAATCAGAAAATATATAGAATTTTGGCTTAAGGCGCCGTAGCAGAGCCGGAGATAAGAATCCAGAGAAAAAGTGTATCAGTAAACTAAGCAGATGCCGTGGAATCCTCCGTCGAGATCTCGGTGGAAGTTTCTGTGCTGCTGCTATCGTCGCTGCTCGGGGCTGCCGTTGTGCTGGTTGTGGATGTCGTCGAGTTGGATGGACGACCGCCGGGCGGACCGTCGGGACGACCGCCGGGCGGACCGCCTGGACGACCGCCGGGCGGACCACCAGGACGACCGCCGGGCGGACCACCTGGACGACCGCCAGGCGGACCACCTGGACGACCACCGGGTGGGCCATCATCACGTCTGGGGCCACGAGGTCCCTGGGCGGCTGCGATGGCCACGACGGCAAGCAGAGTTATCAAGATCAAGGCGCGCATTTTAGTCGATTCCAAAGCTGACTTATGCCCCACTTAGGCAGCGTGGCCGCTTATATAGCATTTGCGCTTCGGCTCTACGGCCGGAAAATTACCCGCCGTACAGCTGTTTCATTTTGCTGACCGAACCATTCAGCTTGTGTAAATTGACGTCAGGTTTTGGTATTTTTCGATAAGAAACCGAGACTCAAGACATCACATGTGAACCACAATTTATCACAATTAATGACAATGCAAACAAATAGTTCACAATAGACTGCAAAATTGATCACATAACCTCAAAATTTCGACAACAAGAAAATCTATCTCGCGCATCTGACGGGTATCAAGTTCTGTTCAAGTCTCAATGCCTTCAGAAATATATTCATCTCCAATTTGGAATCACAATAGACAAGTCGGAATTACCTAATTAGAAGATACCCTAAAGCCAACGTAGAGCTGCCTTTAAATGCATTCAAACTTAGTTCTATCTGTAAGTTCTTGGATAACTCGGGTATTCATTGTCCGATCGTTATGAAACTTTCGGGGCATAAATATGGCAATCGAATATGTGCAAATACCAAAGCCCAAGACCATAAACACGAAAGTACAGTTTTTGGAGAGAGAAGTATCGAATAAGTGAAATACTTGGGATCTGTGCTATACGAAGACAATTATACTATAATATATTTGTCGTTTCTAGCCCGAGCTAGATGGTATATCGATATAGAATTTGATCGATTTCTTATACATTAAATCGGTTATCGATAACTTTAATTATAATGTAGGGTATCGCTGGGCTACCTACTCGCAAGTATGCATATATAATTAATAATATATCAAAATTCACATGCTCATTATAAATCAAGTTCGATTGAATCAAATAAGTTCTCTATGAAAGATCGATAGTCAAGGAATCGATAGTCAAGGAATCGATAGACAAAGAATCGATAGTCAAGGAATCGATAGTCAAAGAATCGATAGTCAAGGAATCGATAGACAAAGAATCGATAGTCAAGGAATCGATAGTCAAGGAATCGAAAGACAAAGAATCGATAGTCAAGGAATCGATAGTCAAAGAATAGATTGATGTACGTTGATGATATAGAATACTGTGCCGATGTGAGAGCAGCTACCCGATCATGTCAGGTGTTGCCTACCCTACCACGATCAGCTGGGCCACCTGGACCAGACAAAAGGTAGTGCGTGATAAATTTGTAAGTGCCCAGCACTTAGACAAACTCGGTTATTGATGGTAGGCAAACACAAATAACTACTTTATAAATACTTTTGCATGTTACATGCAATAGCAATAACATTATTTACATTTACATTTACATTTTATAAACTTTCAAAGAAAAAGTCTTCTCTAAATGCGGGCAGGCAACGCTTTGTGATTGCAAGTACAGACATTAGGGCCTTGTAATTTACTTCCAGGGCCTAAGATCACATACGATTCCAACACATGCTGAACATTGTTACGCAGCAATATGATCGACTAGCAGATACCCTAGATTCAGCTTCAAATTGACTCTTAGAAATTGACTCTTGCGCTTGCCTCAGATCTAGCCATTCAAAAAAATGGTTCTCTAAATAACTACTGCACAATTTGATCGACTAGCAGATACCCTAGATTCAGCTTCAAACTGCCTTGACCCACTTTTTCACTCACATACAAACATATGCAAATGCAGGGCTATTTTTACATTTTAGAAAACCTTGAATGTACTTCATGCACGAGAGATGGACCTTAAAAAGCCAGTGTTGTTTATCAACACTAATCGATTTAAGCGAAACGTCGATAATTATCGATAATGTGAAAACAACTTAAACTACAACAGATCAAAAGCCTTTTCTCAAGCTCCATCCAATACATAATTACAATTCCACAAGTTGAGTATATGCGCTTTCGAACATTATTCGTTGTTTACAGGGTATTAACGGCCACCAAATCGACCAGGTGCAATTAAAAGATAATATTTCAAGTGCTTTGCAGCTGCAGGCACAGGCACAGGCACAGGATTCTATTTGAAAGCGAGAGACTGTGCTGCATATTAATGCAGCTGGCTTTCAGTTTACCTTCGACGTAAACGAAATTAAACGAATGAAATTAACAAAAAAAAAAAACGTTATAAAAATAAGAAGGAGAGAAAAATGTATATAAAATAAATGCAATTCAATTGAGAATGCGAAGCACAACTTCCATTAAAGATGTTGGCATAATTTTAATATCAAGGCTTGGGACGGAGCTCTTGTTTTCCCAGGCAAAGAGAGAGAGAGGAAGCGAGAGTGAGCGAGAGAGAGAGAGAGAGAGAGGGAGAAGGAATTGTGTGCCAATCAAATAGAAATTGAATTTGCACAATAATGTGGCAAAAGGTTGGCGCCCAAATCGAGGCAGTGCCCTCGCTTGAACCCCAACTTGAACCCTTTAAACAGCTGGAGAATTATTAACCTCATCTCATATCCTGTTGGATGCCTTGGCTGGACATAGACCGGCCTTTTATCGACTGCGCGGCAGCACACTTCATCTTTGTTAGACCATCAAATTGTGATTTACTTGCGTTGAGATTTCAATTACGGCCGCTTTATTGCCAATCAATTTTCATATAAATTAGGCAAACGAAAAGTTCGAATTGCCGAAAAAACCCAACCAAAAACAAGTAAGAGGTTCTAGTCGCGAGCTCCCGACTAGGAGATACCCTGCACCCTCTTCCTCCCACATCAAATGCATATATATAATCTATTTAAGGAGCTATATGTCAAGTTTGGTGACTCTAGCTCTTATTATTTACCAAAATTGCCCAAAAACAGGATATCGATATCGATATTTTTATCGATTGCTTGGAAACGGGGCAAGTTATCGATTATCGGAAACAAACTCGATCTGCGCGGGAGCTAGGAGCAGCTACCTTTAGGTCTCTAGCTCTCATAGGCTCTGAGATCCTTGCATTCATACAGACGGACGGACGGACATGGTTAGATCGACTCGGCTATTGATGCTGATCAAGAATATATATACTTTATAGGGTCAGAGATGCTTCCTTCTGCCTGTTACATACATTTGGATTTTGCATAAATACAATATACCCTCTTTAACCATTTTTAATGGGTTCAGGGCATAAAAAACGAAAGGCTTGAATAGCCGCGCGCACATAGTCAAAGTTCAAAGAGCTGCAGCCCAAAACAAAAAAAAGGTCCTTGAAAATTTGCAGCTATACAAAAAGATTTTTGCCGTGAAATCAATTGACGCCTCTTTAAATCAGGCCACTCGACAGGGAGAGAGTTAAGCCTTTAGCTACCCTGTATTCGCACAAGCTAAAGGGTAGCATTTGTTCGGTCGTGAATTCAATTTGAAATGAATACCAAATGCCAAACGAGTACTCGCACGAAAACAAATTAACTCATTAATATATATATATATATATATATATATGCTCATAAAAATATCTATCTATAAACTCAACAGAGTGGCATTTTAGAATAAATCATTTGAACTCAAGCTACTCGCTCAAATGAATCAAACGAATGCTTACAAACGAGTCATTCGAATCAAAATGCCAGCGAAGTGTCAGTTCCTAAGGAAACGATTAAACAAATGCAAACTAAAGAATAAAAATATATATGCTCATAAAAATATCTAGTATTTGTTATCTTAAAGATCGTTTAAGCATTTAAAGTACTTTAGCATTTAGAATAAATCACTCGAACTCAAGCTACTCGCTCAAATGAATCAAACGAATGCTTGCATTTGCAAAAGTCAAATACAAACGAGTCATTCGAATCAAAATACCAGCGAGTGTCAGTTCCGAATGAAACGATTAAACAAATGCAAATATCTGTTAAGCTATTTGAATAACAATCTCTATATTAGAGAGCTGCGATTCTGTTTCTACTCATTTCCAAATTCAAATATGCTTTCAAAGGCATCCACAATATTTGTGATCAGTTTCAAGTGCAAATGATTCGAATGGTTGAAGCCAGAACTTACAAATGTATTCTCCGATCTTCATTAAGAATACGTTCATTTATCTTGCATTTTACTTGGAGTTGAGCCCATTTTTGTTGAACTATGCAACATCAAGTTAATATAGGCTATATGTGGATATTACCCGGTTTTGCTGGGCACAAATTCAGACATCAACTTTTCAGCTAAAAATTGCAACTTGCCCGTAATATACCGAGCCCCTCCCCCTCCCTCTCCCCCTCCCTCTACGACCAATTAACACCAGCTGCTTGTCAATCAAATGAAGCGACAGCACGAAGTGCCGCCATTCAGGTTAACCCTTTGACTTGCAGCGACCGGAAAAGCTAATGGAAACCTCGCCGTGTACAATGAAAGCTGCCTTTGGCGGGTGTCTTCTTTAACCAGCCGACATTTTTTTGCTCGACACAAACCTTTTTTTTCGGACAGTTTCGCTCTTTTGACCGAACGCGTGCCGAGCAGAAAGCATGCAGTTTTTTAACATATCAAGGGTAAGCAAAATTCCGGAAAATTGAACTTCACAATTAAATTATAGCGCGAAATTGGAGATTTGTTTAAACTTTTTATGTAGCAGCTTTATGATATAGTTAACCGATATTAATAGGACTTAGCAGATATTTAAGGAACATAGTAGAGCTATTATGTGCCGAGTTTGATCGAGATATCTTTGAAAACAAAAAAATTTTCCATACAAGAACTAAATTTTCAACCGATTGTTCCTATAGCAGCTATATGTTACAGTTATCCGATATCAATATAATTGTGCACACATGTAAGATGCATAGTAAATCTATTATTTGCCGAGTCTGATCGCGATATCTTTGAAAACAAAAAAGTTTTCCATACATGAACTAAATTTTCAACCGACCGTTCCTATGACAGCTATATGATACAGCTATCCGATGAGGATACGACTTATCATATATATGGGGAGCATAGTGAAACTATCGTATGCCGAGTTTGGTCAAATTACCTTGAAAAATAAAAAACTTTTTCTTACAAGAACTAAATTCATGCCCGATTGTTCCTATACCTGCTATGTGATACAGTTATCCGACATCAATATGAGTTTGCACGCATGTAAGGCGCATAGTAAAGCTAGTATGTGCCGAGTTTGATCGAGATATCTTTGAAAACAAAAAAGTTTTCCATACATGAACTAAATTTTCAACCGATCGTTCCTATGACAGCTATATGATACAGTGGTCCCATATGTCCGGCTTCGACATATGTAAAGCCCACAACAAAACGACGGACTTATGCAAAGTTTCAAGACGATGGATTTAAAACTGGGAGACTAGTTCGTATAGAAACAGACAGACGGACAGGCAGACGGACAGACAGACGGAACAACGGACATGGACTATATCAGCTCTGCTGTTGATGCTGATCATGAATATATATACATTATGGGGTCGGAAGTATCTCCTTTAATGCGTTATCCCCTTTACATGGGCATAAATGTACCAATTCGTACATGTTGGTACGATGTTCTAATAAATTTATAAAGTACCATTATGGGTACATTTCGATCAGATGTAACAGTTGGAATCACAGCATTAACATGTTATTAACAGCGACTGTTAAGTTCTATAACAGCCAACAGACAAGTGAAAATATTTAATAGATTTACCTGTTAACATGTTAGTTGTGTGTGCTAATGTTTGGGTCTATACGAATCCAGGAACGCATCCTGTTAATAGTGTGTTTATTTAAATGTGTGTGTGTCTGTGTCTGTCTATCACAGTTGACGATTCCCGCCTTAGAGGTACTGAGAGTCTTGGTAATTGTCACGAAACTCGAGCAGCTTATCGAGCGCCATTTCGTACTCATCCCGCTCGAAGCCCGATTGCGAGTAACCCCGCAATTTGGCCACCTGAACGCGATGCGTTTGGCCGTGCAGCGCATCGAGATGCTCACCCAGCTTGCTGGAGTTCTGTATCGCAGCCAAGGCTGGTGCGCTGGCCACACGTGACTTCGGCTCACGCTGCGCCTCACCCGGCAGCATAAAGCCATCAGGGGCAACGCGTGTCTCAAAGATCTCGTAGGGGAACGGCAGCTGCGTCTTTAGGGGCAGCGGCGTGGCGGCGGCATGCGTCAGACTGCCATGATAGGCACACTGATAATACAATTGAAGCATCTGGGAGACGCTGTCGCATTTATAGGCGGACATGCGCAGCTGTGGCCCGGCCAGCTCCAGGGGACGCTTGAGCCGTGCCTGGGGTATGCCGCGCGCCACAACCGACTGTACAATATGCGAGTTGCCCGGCTCACAGCCAGGCGTGAGCTGTGTAAACAGCGGACCACTCGCCCCTTGGTCCAAATAATCAATGAGATCCTGTTCTTGCTGCATGCCCAGGGGCAGAGCCAAAGCAGCCGCCGTCATTTTGCGGCCAGAGGGACAGACGCGATCGCAGAAGCGCAATAGTGTTTCGGGCGTCTGGCGCAGACGATAGCCGAGCGTAACTGTGTCCAAATATGCCGCCAGCACGGCAGAGCTCTGATACAGATTGTCCGGCTGCCAATGCAGACCGGGCAGTCGACGCGACTGCAGCGTATTATTGCGCCAAATGGTCTCCAGCGTGGACAGCGGCGTAAACATATTCGCCTGCTCGCTGAGATGATAATAGCTGAGCACGTTGTTCGCCACACGAATGCTGTGGGCGGTGCGTGGATCTGCAAGGCACAAACAAAACAAAGATTTAATTGAAGTGTTTAACAGTGAAAACCCTAAGTATTGCCCACCTGCTTGGGCATAGGCGATGTTGCGTGGATAGTGCAGCGGCAGGACAAAGCTGGCGCGGCTGTATTCATCATTCAAATGCTCCAGACACTTGCTGGCCAGACCACTGAAGCCGTCGTCAATGTCAAAGAGCAGCTGGAAGCCCTGCAGACCATCGCATTCCTCGGCGTACATGCGTATGCGATCGCAAAAGTCCTCGTTAAAGGACACCGACTGCCACAGTTCCACGCCTGCGGCATGTGTGCCCAGCACCTGAACATCCGGCTGACGCACCAAACCGTGCAGCAAATTAAACGAGCGTGGATGATAACGTGCATATAGATAGTCCGCCCAGCTGTTGCAGGTCCCAGCCAAATTATAGTCCTTATCCTGCGTATTGACGACGCCCTTAAGCAAATCCTGCTGATATTCGGACAATGTAGCCGCTGGCTGCTTGCGTACATCCAGCTCACCGTGCGTGGACAGCTTATTCTGTTCGGCCAACTCTTTGACTTTCTGGATTTGATCAGCGTTTTGCTCATCCGCCAACTGCAGAAAATTGCCGTACAGCTCGCCCACAACGGGCAGATGGCCCAGCGTGCCGACAAGATCTACGGAGAGCATGCGCGGCGTATAAGTCGTTTGTTTCTGATCATTCCGGCCCTCTCTGTAGAGTATATCATTGTGGGGCAGCTGCTCCTCAGCCACATTGCCGCCGTTCTCTTGATCGTACACAAAGTTTGCCTCCTACATGGACATGACGCAGTGGAAAAATGTTGACTAATTGTGCGTGAGAATTGGTATTGTTGCTTACCTGTTGGTTCCAGAAGTGTGCGCCCACATAATTGGCATATGTGCCAAGCTGAAATGTCAGTATCTCACGTGTATGGTCCATGTTGTACTTTAATTATGATCAATTTAAGCACAAATTGTCATGGAACGCGCGCACCGGGCACCTGCTAAGCGTGCTTCTTATCGATTAATGACTCAACTGGTATTTTTATCGATAGAAATGGCTAAACTAGTATTTTCTAGCGATAGCAATGTCAGCGCAACGTGAACAGGTGAATGGCACTCGAACAGCTGATTTGCGCACATTTTCAAAAAATCAACCGTAACAGTTTGGAAAATCTAACAATTTACTCTAATTAAAAGAGTAAAAAATGTGTTAGCACAATTTGATGAGTGTACTCGTGCGAGTTGCTATTTAATTAACTTTCAGTCTATTTAACCACACTATTCACGTGTCTCTGTGGAGATACGAATCCATTGGCCATCTCGTTATCGTTCGTTCAGTATCAAGGACAAAAAACAATTCCAAAATAAAGCAATTAATTGTACATAGATCACTTGATACTGTACGGGAATTAATGTGAAATTGATTGTTTGCGCCAATGGCCACACCATAAAACTGCCCTTCATTATCGTAATATAGTTCTCCTTAATACGCTTCACAATCGTGTCATGCTTCTCGCCGTTCATATACGGAACCAGATACGTCAGCAGCAATGTAAACGGAGGCGCAAAACAGCCCTGATCGATTAACATCTTCTTAATGCCACGCTGCACTGACGACTGATCCTTGGTTATCAACGTATCCAGCGTGCCGTACCATTTGCGCAACGAGGGCCCGACAATGACCAGGCCCAAAGCACTGAAGCGTGCCGTACGGCCGACATTCCAATCCTTGAAGTCTCTCTTCTCGAGCGCCAGCTGGGCGATCATATCGCCAGCGCCCATAATGAGGGCCACGTTCAGACCCTCGCGTATATATCCGGCCAATGCCATATTGATTCGTAGAGCTGTAAAGGCAATAACTTCAATGAAACATATTGGTTTAATCAATGCGAGTGCATACTGTTTATTGGGACACGTTCCGTGAAGTATGTTAATTTTGAATTTCTCTGTTTTCCTGCCAGATACTGCCTTTTTCAAAATATTTAGTAAAACTCAAACATTTTGGGTTTGCTTAGCTGCCAAATTAGTGTTGACACACAATGAATCGATTATTTCAAAGCAGACCAATCGTATATCGATAGACAGCGTACATGCTGCTGCCTCTTCTCAATCAACCATTCACACACTGCGAATTCAATTGCATTCCACAAACGACATCTGTCGGGCAAAAATTCAAAATTCATCTTGTCACATATATTTAAAAGATTTATGTACATAATACATAGCTAAAACGAAAGTTTATCATTTATGTAGTCTAGCGTCTTTAGATCTTCCTCTTTTTTGGACTGTTCAGCGGCAAACTGCCATTAACCTCCAGTTTTTTCTTTTTCTTCTGCCTTGGCAGCACATCTCCATCATCCACTTTGTGCTTGACGGACTTCTTCTTGACGGGCTGCTCGATTTGGGTTAGCTCCTCGTCGCTGTCCATTAGTTCCACATAATCGGGATGGGCGCTATCCTGCATGAATTTGGGCGTCACGCCCGTCAGCACCGATTGCCGCACGTCGTGCTCCTTTTGGGCCAGCGTCTGCGTGCTGCTCAGCAATTTCCGGCGTATCTTATAGAAATTGCTGGTGTTGCGCAATTTCTCCTTCACTTCGGTGCATTTTTTGTCAGCATTTCGCAGCTTTTTCGCCGTCTTCTTGTCGATCTCAATGCGCGTCTTGTAGTCACGTCCAAAGAACGGATGACGCACCGGCAATCGAAATTTCGGAGGTCCGCAAGGTTTTGGAAATTGATTTGCCTCGCCATCGTCGCCGGGTCTTTCCATATTCAGGCGCCGGCTGACAACCACATGACCGACCAGTGGCAGCAATCGGACCGCATATTTGCCCTTGTTGCTGGCATAGCCAACGGAATTTGTCAACGGATGCTCGTAGTGGGTGGTCCGCACCTGAATGTCGCCCACATAACGACGGCCGGGCATTTTGATTCTCTTGCCGGCCAATGCATCGATATCGATGCCCTTGGGGCATTGCATTATCCAGGCATCGTGTACGGCCGGATCAAAGTATTGTATGGGCTCGCTGCATTCGGCGGAGAAGCGATCTGCTTCGATGGCTGCATATTCGTTCTCTTCCAGAAATTCACTTTTGCATTGCCTGTGAAATTGGCGAACTATCTTCTTTTCATCTTTGACCACACCGTTCTCCACTTTCAATCGTATCACCTGCAAGTGCATTCAACGTGTGAATATGTCGACTATCCAATTACATTTACGTACTCTTTTCGTATCATCGTGTTCCATTTTAAATTGCCCAAATTTTTATAAACAATTGAGAAATACGCGAGGCTGCAGCGCTCCTGCACGTGCGCTTTCTCGGACAGTGTTGAGCAATTTTCGAAAACGAATATATATATCGATATATTTATCTTGAATTTGAATATCACATTTGGCTTAAGTGCTTATAACGTGCTCGCATTTATTATTTCGTTGTTTATTTTTAAGCGCATTTAACTGTTTTTAAATTTTTGTATTTCTAAAAATGCTAATTGTTTTGGTGCATTTGAACCACATGTTACGCCACAAGCGATATATCGACTAGCACAGTTCATAGAAGATTTGTGATATCGATACGTTTTTTTTTTGTCGCTTTGACATTTTCCAGCACTGTTCGGCCTTCATGTGCTTCGCGTGTTGCTGCCGCACGCATTTTGCCCAGTCTTCACGCTCAAAATGAGCCAAACACAGAAATTGCTGCAGTTCCATGAACTGGAGCTGGACCAACGCATACTCAAAGTACGTACGCATCAATATTGTATAACATGACATGGCAATTCTAATGCCAATACCCTGGAACAGGCAATTGCGCAGCTCGGCTGGGTGCAGCCCACGCTAATCCAGTCGACGGCCATCCCGCTGCTGCTCGAGGGCAAAGATGTGGTGGTGCGTGCACGCACCGGCTCCGGCAAGACGGCCACCTATGCGCTGCCGCTCATACAAAAGATCCTCAACTCGAAAATGAACGCCAGCGAACAGTGTGTCAGCGCCCTGGTGCTGTGCCCCACCAAGGAGCTGTGCCGGCAGTCTCGCCAAGTCATTGAACAGCTGGCCGAATCGTGCGGCAAGGTGGTCCGTGTGGCGGACATTGCTGGCAGCTCGAATGATGTGGCCACACAACGGCATGCGCTTGCCGAACGACCCGATATTGTGGTTGCGACGCCCTCCAAGCTGCTGGCGCATGCGGATGTCGTCGATTTGCAGCACATTGAGACGCTGGTGGTGGATGAGGCGGATCTGATATTTGCCTTTGGCTATGAGAAGGACTTTAAGCGGCTGATCAAACATTTGCCGCCCATTTACCAGGCGGTGCTCGTCTCGGCCACCATATCGGACGATGTGGCACGCATGAAGGGTCTGTGCCTGCACAATGCCGTCACACTCAAGCTGGAGGAACCGGATCTGGTGTCGCTCGATCAGCTCAGCCATCAGCGCATACTCGCCGAGGAGAACGACAAGCCGGCCATATTGTGCGCCCTGCTCAAGCTAACGCTCATCCAGGGCAAGAGCATCATATTCGTCAACAATGTGGATCGATGTTACAAGTAAGTGAAAGAGCCAAGCCCATCCGGCGGTACAACAGACATTTGCTCCAGCTGATGACAAACCAAATCTTCAATGGGATTGCGCAATTGGCAACAGTTGGCGCACGCATGACCATAGACTAATCTTCTCTCTGATGGCAGCTGCTGCCATGCAGCGCAGGCTGTGTCTATTCAATCCAGCTACTCTAGATACACATTCTTTCGTTGTAGGGTGCGTCTGTTTCTGGAACAGTTTGGCATACGCTCGTGCGTGCTCAACTCGGAGCTGCCGGCGAATATACGTATACACACCATAAGCCAATTTAATAGGGGCGTCTATGACATCATTATTGCCTCCGATGAGCATCTGCTGGAGAAGCCGGCGGGCCAAAAGGCAAAGGACAAATCCCAGCGGGATCACGAGTCGAGCGCCTCGCGTGGCATCGATTTTCAGGGCGTTAATAATGTCATCAATTTCGATTTTCCGCGCGATGTCACCTCGTATATACATCGTGCTGGCCGCACGGCGCGCGGCAATAACAAGGGTTCGGTTCTGTCCTTTGTCAGCATCAAGGAGTTGCCCGTTAACCAGGCTGTGGAGGAGCGTTTACGCTGTTCCCTGGGCAAGGAGCCGCATCTCACAGTCGACGCGCTGTCGGACGAGCCGCAAAAGCCCGCCGGCGAGGACATCATCAAGTCAGTCAAGTGGCAAACCATTTTGTATTAACCAATTCTAATCAGTTTCCATGTCCATGTCCAGACTCTACCAATTCAAAATGGAGGAGGTGGAGGCGTTCCGGTATCGCGCCCAGGATTGCTGGCGTGCCGCCACACGTGTCGCTGTCCACGACACACGTATACGGGAGATCAAAAGCGAAATTCTCAACTGTGAGAAACTGAAGGGCTTCTTCGAGGAGAACAAACGCGATCTGCTGGCGCTGCGCCACGACAAGCCCGCTCGCACCATCAAGGTGCAATCGCATCTGTCCCATGTGCCCGACTACATACTGCCCAGCGCCCTGAAGCGCGTCGCCCTCGCTCGGCCCAATACGCTGGCAGCCAAACCGACGCGCACAACGGGCGCCAAAAGTGCCTACCAGCGACAGAGCAAAGATCCCCTTATGGTCAGCGAGGTGGACTATGGCAAGCGACGCGGCGCGCCCAAACGGCGAAAAGCCAAATAACTGTCAATTGGCAGCCAGCATTTGGCCAAAAAGTTGTTCTAGTTTTAGTTCTGGTTATCTTTAAGCCTAATTGTAGTTCAAACATTTAGCTATGTTTTGCCCATTCAAATGTAAAAGCCACAAACTCGCATCAATGTCGGAAAGCTATATCTATGTCTATATATATATATCTATATATCAATATATGGATATATGGCTTGCTTGTAAATAAAGTTTTGTGTCCTATAAACCATGCCGTAAATGTTCCTTCTAATTTAACTCCAACTCCGAAAGCTGTTGCTCTTGGAATCCCTTGGATCTGGCGTCGATCTCTTGGATCAGGCGTCGATCTCTTGGATCAGGTCTCGATCTCTTGGATCAGGCCTCGATCTCTTGGATCAGGCGTCGATCTCTTGGATCAGGCCTCGATCTCTTGGATCAGGCGTCGATCTCTTGGATCAGGTCTCGATCTCTTGGATCAGGTCTCGATCTCTTGGATCAGACCTCGATCAGACCTCGATCTCTTGGATCAGGCCTTGATCTCTTGGATCTGGCGTCGATCTCTTGGATCAGGCCTCGACCTCTTGGATCAGGCGTCCATCTCTTGGATCAGGCCTCGATTTGTTGGATCCGGCCTCGACCTCTTAGATCAGGCATCGATCTCTTGGATCAGGCCTCGATCTCTTGGATCTGGCGTCGATCTCATGGCCAACGCAGCTGAGAATCATCTCCAGCTGCGATTGATTCGTTTTTGACAAACGGCAAGAAAACAAATTCTCTCTTTACACATTGTCAAGTATTGCTCACAAATCACAATTCTCGTCAAATTGATTTCGAAATTTCTTTCCAAAAATGTATCACAACGTAATGTGCGCCTCCGGCCGGGCTGTGCTGCCCGCCGAACTGAACTGTTTCAGCGAATTGGCGCACACACATCGTTTGCCGGACACGCGTTTATTTTACGACGATTACAAGTTTCACACGAACATGCAAATGTTGCGCAATCGTGACGGCTTGGGTCCACCTCTGAAGCGGGGCATGGAACGTTTTGCGGCCCGGCAAACGGGCCGGCTACCATTTCTGCGTTCCAGCAACTTGATGGAGCATGTGCTCGCTGGCCGACTCGAGGACATCTCCTTTGAGGATGTGCTCAGCCAGCCGCAGCACGATGAGCAACTGCATCAGCCGCACATCATTGTGGAGCGGGCCATGGGCATCTCACTCTAGACACAACTACCTCAAAAAACGGCCCCAAACGTGGAAGTGCTCGACCCTAGCAGATACCCTAAGCCGCGCCGTTCTAACTGACTTCACTTTGCTTCAACTTAGGGTATTATTCGTTTATAAATAAATTAAGAGAGTCTACATACCAAGTTTTAAGTGCGCTGAAAGTTGGCCAGTTCCTGCATCAAATATATATATATATATGGTCTGTAAAAAAAGAAGAAAAGCCTTTTGTTAAACACTTTAGAGAAAAGATTTGATTTAGAGAAAAAATTAGAAGCAATGTTACAAAAAAAAAAAGAGCTCTTTCCATCTCAAACATTTGTTGTGCTCCCTTTCCGATTCACGCCAAATCTATGCACAGAAAAAAAAAAACAAATCATATTTCTATATGATATATTGGGAGTAATTCGACATTAAAAAAAAAAAAAAAAATGGTTTTTAACATTTTATTATTGTCATTGAAATAGTTAACATTCAATTATTTATTATTGTTTATTACACACACACATATACATATATACATATATATATATATATATATATATATATGCAGTGTGTATATATAGTTTCGTATATTGAATAACACACATATGAATGTATATTGAATAACTATGAATATTTCGATAAAGAAAAGAGAACTTTGCGTTACAATTACATCAAGCACACTGAAGACAACAAAGGAGGAGGAGGGGAGGGGGGGGCGGGTTGGCTAAATGAAAATAACAATTGAAAATATGTTTGCTATTTGATATATATATAATTATTATAATAAAACATTCAGTTTAGTGTTAGGTTAATCCCTGGGCGGCAACATATATATATATATACATATATATTGATGCTTGCTGTGAAAAGAAACAAATGCAGGCGTTCTACCGATCTCTCCCTATATATATATATATATAGAGAGAGATATACATAGAGGTCTAAACTACAGTTGTTATGCTTAAGGAAACAATATATAAGATCACACAGCAGCAGCAGTTGACAACAATTGAAATCGAATTAGAAAACACTCGAGAAACTAGTCTAAAATGCAGCCAAGTATATATATATATATATATATATATATATAAACGTTTTGTATGTATGTATATATGTGTATATATTATATGCTCTTACTTTTAAGTTTTTTGCTAATAATGTGATTTTGTTTTGTTTTGTTTTTGTTTAACTCGCGCTAGAGAATTTTACAAACCTATTTTGGTTTACGGCTTTTATTACATATTTGTTTATATATATATATATATTTATATATATATATATTTGTTTTTTTTTTTCGAAACACTTGCAACAAGAGATACAATTATTAATGACTTATATTGAAATACATATGCAAGCAACAGTTTGATTAAATTATATAATTAATATGCTTCTCTTTGCTTTGAGTTTGTTTGCTTTCAACTTTCGATAACATATATATATATGCATACACACATCTATATATATCTCTCTATATATATATATATATATATATGTATAGGCGGTAAAACATGTTGAATATAAAATTATAAGGTTTCACATTCTTTAGATCTTAGTTTTATGCTGCTCTGCAGTTTCGTGTATATTCGGCGCATATCTTTAAATAACTCTCTCTCTCTCTCTTTCTCTCTATATATATATATATATATATATATTATATATAGATAAATCGATTTCCGTTTGGGTATCGGACGCATCTAACGTTAGAACATTTAGAATATAAAAACAAAACAATACTAAAAAAAAAATAATAATAATAGTGCGCACACACACAATCCACAGGCGGGATTTCACTCTAGGCTCTCGGGCGTGTGTTCTTTAGTCGGGTTGTCATTTTTGTTGTTCTTGTTGTTGTTGTCAGTTGTATTATTTATGCTATATTCGTGTATCGTTTTGCCCGGACAACACACATGGATGGCCTGCCTAACTCGCAACACGCTGAAGCCGTAGCCGATGCCGAAGCCGGAACCGGAGCTTTTGTTTAGATGGGCACATAGTTGCCCTTGGGCTTGTAGAAGAGCTGGCCGCGAAAGAGGCGACGGCGTATCTCGCTGCCGAGCAATCGTTTCTCCTTCTTGATTTTCTTGAGAACGCCCTTGTTCTCCTGGGCGCGACGCGACAAATAGGGCAGCACCTCCTCAACGGGTCCATACGGTATATACTTGTAGGCCGAGTAGCCGGCCTGACCTGCAAGGCGAAAGGAAAGATTAATAGCATAAGGCATTGGCATTCAAAATTGTTCGTAGAATGTCTCACCCAGCGGGAAGGTGATGTAATCGCACATGCCCAGTAATTGACCAAAACAGATGACCTTATCCTCCGGCGAAATGCCAATCGATTTCATATTCTCGATGGCAAAACGTACCGTATCCTCATTATGCGATGCAACCATAATGCCAATCTTGCGAGCATCATCGTCCGAATCCTTCAGCAACTGCAAGTATCGAAATTAATAACATAATAACATTAAATTTTTGTTTGTTTTGGGTATTTGCCTTGATGCGACGCAAACACTCGGCCAGCGTCTTGTGATACATGTCCGTGGTGGCCTCATAGCTGGGATTCACGGGATCGGCATAGCCGAGCGCCTGGGCGCGTGCACGCTCCTGATCCATATAGGCGCCGCGCACTAGCTTAGCACCGAAATAGAAATTCTGTCGCTTGGCCTGCTCCAAATCGGTGACCACCTGCAATACAGAACAGTTTCAAGGATTAACGCGAAATTCATTTCGGTGTAGGAAGCTTTGCTGGTCTGAGGCTCACCTCACGGTAGGCCTCACGCAAATAGCACTGATAGGTATTGAATACAATGGCCTTCTCCTTGTTATATTTGCGCATCATTTCCAGCGTAATGCGCGAAATCGCTGGCTGGAAATAGGTTTGCTCCGCATCAATCATAATGCGCACGTCCAGCTCAGCGGCAGTCTGTCAAATATATTCGAAAAAAAAATCAATTATGCATTCCTAATTTGTCTGCAATCTATTCGCAATGCTTACCTTTACAATTGTGTTTAGACGACGTATCATGTTTCTAAACATCTCCTCCTCTTTGGGCGCTATTTGTGAGATCAGTCGACGCATTTGACCCGTTATCGGATCGGGCACGCGAAATGTGTCGCTCAGCTGTGAATCTTCGTCTACAATGCCTGACCAGGGAAACAGATGCAGTATACTAGAAGGTAGAGACGGGCCAGAGTTAGATAAAATCATATTTTAAAGTGCGAAAGCTAATTTATCAAAGGTTTTTCTAAGATCTGCACCTGGTGCGTTTAAGGAATATTTTGCTCCCTTTTTTTTGCTTTATAAAAAACCTGAGCTAAACTAAGCTAAGTTAAGCTAGCCTCAGCTTAGGTTGCCTAACCTTATTTTAACTATACTTAACTACACTTAAATAACCTAAAGCAACACAACCTTACTTAACCTATCCTAGCCTAGCCTAGCCTAACCCAACCTAACCTAACATAACCTAACCTAGCCTAGCCTAACCTAACCTAACATAACCTAACCTAACCCAACATAACCTCACTAACCTAACCTAACCTAACCTAACCTAACATGACCTAACTTAACCTCACCTCACCTAACCTAACCTAATCTAACCTAACCTAACCTAGCTTAACCTAACCTCGCCTAACCTAACCTAAGCTAACCTAACCTAACCTAACCTAACCTAACTTAACTTAACCTAACCTAACCTTTATACATTTCTCCTCATCTCCACACCTTATCGAACACAATCTATTCTAAGCGTTTCCCACCTCACCTAACCTTGCTTTCTCTTACCTCACCTCTTCTCACCAAACTCTGAGCTGAACCAATCAAAGTCTTAACTGCACAATCGATTTCACGCGCAGCCAACTTAATGTGGACATTAATTTATTTGATGCTGCCAGATCGCTCGATTAGCTAACGGCTTCAAAGTAATTCATCTACTACTTTTAATTTCTTTTACAATTGTGCCTCAAACCAAAGTTTGCCTGTTTTAAAATTAATACAAGACTAGATTTTTACTTTGGGCAAATAAATATCAATTGGCGTCACATTAGAAAGCCATAAATCTATAAATACAGCCATATATTAGCACAAGCTAAAATTCAGCTGAATAAATTAGTAAGCGCAAATTATCTGATGAGAAAAAAAAAGAAGTTAAATTTAGACAGACCTAATAAAAAGTGCTAAATAGTATTTAACTTCTTAAATTAACATCATTAATATCAAAAACAAGCGGAAATGTCGTAAAAAAAGCTGGTCTAATGAAGTGGTTCAAACCTTAACCATAAAAGCCTACACCCTCCCAGCTGGGAATATTTGGGAGTAGGAGTAGGAGAAGGAATAGGAATAGAAATAGGAGTAGGAGTAGGAGTAGGAGTGGGAATAGGAGTAGGAGTAGTAGGAATAGAAATAGGAGTAGGAGTATTAGGAGTAGGAGTAGGAGTAGTAGGGGTAGGAGTTGAAGTAGGAGTAGTAGGAGTATTAGGAGTAGGAGTGGGAGTAGGAGTAGAAAGAGTAGGAGTATGAGTAGGAGTAGGAGTAGTAGAAGTAGCAATAGGAGTATTAGGAGTAGGAGTAGGAGTAGTAGGAGTAGAAAGAGTAGGAGTCGGAGTAGGAGTAGAAAGAGTAGGAGTAGTAGAAGTATTAAGAGTAGGAGTAGTAGGATTAGGAGTAGGTGTAGTAGGAGTAGGAGTAGGAGTAGAAGTGGGAGCAGTAGGAGTAGGAGGTGTAGTAAGTAGCAGTAGGAGTAGTAGGAGTAGGAGTAGGAGTAGAAGTAGGAGTAGTAGGAGTAGTAGGAGTAGTAGGAGTAGTAGGAGTAGAAGGAGTATTAGGAGTAGGAGTAGGAGTAGGAGTATGAGTAGTAGGAGAAGTAGGAGTAGAAAGAGTAGGAGTAGGTGTAGTAGGAGTAGGTGTAGTAGGAGTAGGAGTAGAAGTAGGAGAAGATGGAGTAGGAGTAGTGGGAGTAGTAGTAGGAGTGGAAGGAGTAGAAGTGGGAGTAGAAGTAGGAGTAGTCGGAGTAGGAGTAGTCGGTGTAGGATTAGTAGGAGTAGGAGAAGGATTAGGAGTAGGAGTAAGAATAGAGAAAATGAATATACGCACCCCTCCTTATCGGATGTGACGTTCCGCAAGAACTGCTGTACATCCTTGTTGTCGCCAACGCTGGCATAATACTTCTCGAGATCCTTGATGGTCTTGTGATGGGTTAGCACGTTGCCCTCGCCGCCGACAAGTGCCTCCATATATTTACGTGTGCGCATTATGACCTCGGATAGTTGCAGCTATCGAAACAAAGGAAATTAATATGCAATCAAATCAACTAAAGGGTATATATATATATATATATATATATATATAGATATACTCACCAACAGCTGTGGACGGCCCAGGGCGGTCAATTTGATGGCCGTGATGCCAGTTCCGAAGGTGGCGCCTGTTGCAGCAGGTGGCAAGTTGACAGGTGGCAGGTAGCAGGTGGCAGGTGGCAAGTTGTTCGATCGATCGGTTTGTTGTTCGGAAATGAGAAGCATTTGAGAGGTAAGTGAGAGTGCATGAACGCAAAAGGCGCGTAGCAATACGAGGCGTGGCAAAAGGCGTTCAAGACAATTTTAACTACACAGCAATTGATGCACTACAAGCTCACACACACACACACACGCACATATATAGTTTACACTGTAAAAAAAAGGTAATCGAAAAAAAAAATGGCAAACAAAATCAACGCAAAACTAACTAAAACAAACACACAAAGCAAAATGCTAAATACGAGATTTCAGGCTTTCGATTCCGAGTAGTTTTTTTTTTTATGTTTCAATTTAACGTGAATTTAAGCGGCTTACCCGTTGCCGCAGCACGCGGCTCTTTCCTATCGTCGTCTAGACACATACACACATAGGCACATACACGCACACACACATACACACACATACGCACGCACACAAACATTTGGGTTTGATTTTCAATGATTTTTTGAGGTTAGTTCAATTCCAAAACGTTTCATTTTGATTTTTTGAGGTTAGTTCGATTCCACAACGTTTCATTTGGATTTTTTTTAGGTTGGTTCAATTCCACAACGTTTCGTTTTGATTTTTTGAGGTTAATTCAATTCCACAACGTTTCGTTTTGGTTTTTTGAGGTTAGTTCAATTCCACAACGTTTCGTTTTGGTTTTTTGAGGTTAGTTCGATTCCACAACGTTTCATTTGGATTTTTTGAGGTTAATTCGATTCCATAATTTTGATTTTTGAGGTTAGTTCGATTCCACAACGTTTCATTTGGATTTTTTTAGGTTAGTTCAATTCCACAACGTTTCATAGGGATTTTTTGAGGTTAGTTCAATATTCCACAGTTTGTTAGTTGCGTTTATTGTTAACAATTAATTGATTTTATTTTCAGAGAAAGAGAGAGAGCGGAAAAGTCGTTGCCGTTGGTTTTGTGAGAAAGAAAAATGCATTCGAGAGAGATAAATTAATCAAAATTATAATTAAATGAATCAAGTTATCGCAAGTATACAAAAAACAAAATAAAAAAGAAAACTAGAAGCTACAAATGCATCTAATAGAAACTAAGAAAGTGTGTGCTGTTAACTTTGGCGTGCCAGAAGATGAGATACCCCTTAAAAGACAATTACCAACTGTTCCTGAGATGAGCTAAAAACACATTTGAAACATTTCCTACAACTAGAGTTGAAATGTTTATTTATAATCGATAATCTCATTCAATATCTCACACAAGGAGAGGGAATGTTTAAATTGGATATTTTTGAACCTTTGTAATACAAACAAAAACAAGTTTTGCCAAGTTTCAGTTTCTGACTCATTTAACGACCCGTTCCCGAGGCACATTTCCGCTTATAATAAATTCTGTTGAATCAACTTTTCCGGCTTGTAAATGTAAATTGTTTGGCATTTGTCGAATTTTTAAAAAAGCCATTGAACTCGGGCTAAAGCTCAAAATAAATGGCAAAAAAGTTAGTTGGGCAACATTGGAATGAAACACGTGCGTGCGGAACAGCTGGAATTGGGCCGAAATATTGTTTTCGCATGCGCGAAGACTTGACTTTGTGTTTCTTTAACAATTCGCGAGCTTAAATGTATTTTATTTCAATCTATTTCCCTGTTTAGGCTCAAATTTGCAATTCTAACCTCAAAAGTGACAAACCTAACCTCAAAAGTGAGAAACCTAACCTCAATGTTTCGAAAGTCGCTAAAAAGAAATATTGCATAATAGAGTACAACTTATGAAACCCTGCCAGGCGAAGGCAAAGGTAAAGGCAAGAGAAAAGCAAGAAGAAGAAAGAAAACAAGTTTAAGCTAAGCTTAAAGTAAACGAAAATAGGAAACACAGGGTTGCAGAACAGGGTTGCAGAACAGGGTTGCAGAACAGGGTTGCAGCACAGGGTTGCGTACGGCACATGCTTTTTTTTTTTAAGAATTTGTCGATTGGACAACAAAAAATGATGTTGAAGTGAAGAAAGGGGAAGGCGAAGCTTACCGGAAACGGCCTCCAGACACTTGATGAATATCTCCATGTTGCGTTCACAGGTGGCCTCGTTCAAATAGAAATAGGTGCGTGCGCTGCTCACCTTGTAGCGACGATCGGCAAACGATTTGTCCACATGATACTGCGGCAAGGCGCCCGCATCCTGGGCATTATCACCGGTGCTCGAAACGGAAGATCTGCGAATAAAAAAAGTGTTAAGTCAAGTGTGTTTCAGCTGTGGTCGACGACACGTACTCAACTTCACGCTTCTCGGCCTCCTCCTGGGAGATATCCTCTTCGACGGAATAGTCCAGAATGGGCTTGACGCCGAACGAGCGTAGTCTGTGGCGGCGTTTAACGAGTAGTTGGCAAGAGATTAGAGCGGAAAAACAAAACAATGGAGCATTAGAAATGCGGCTTTATAAAAAACGGAGGCTCAAAACGGGTGCGCGTGGGGGTTGAAGGGGGGGGGGGGGGGGGGGGGGGGGGGCATATATATATTTATTGCTGTGCATTTGGGAAGCAAGTAAACATGCCACAAATGAGCGTCGCATTAGTTCAAGTTAGTTGGTTTTCTTTTCAGCATTGCATTTTAGTTAAATATGGCTTGGTTAAATATGGCGATGATATAAAAAGTAAATGGAAGCGTTTGGATATAGGCGAGATTTGGGCACCTCTCGAGCGTGGGAACAATCGTGTGGCGATTCTCGCCGGCCACAAAGTGCCCGTAGAAGCTGGACTTCATCAGTATCACAAACAGTTTGCTGCCCAGCACGGCGCGGGCGACTTTTAAAAGCTTTTTTATTTTTATTTTTTTCGAGCAGGAAGAGGCGTTGCACATTGTTTATCGGTTGTGGTTGTTATCGATAGCATTACGGTTATGTTGATTGTCGATTGTTAAATTCATAGTTTATCGATAATTTGGTTTAAAGGCAGTGGCTCATCGTTAATCGGTTCAGTTAATCGATAACATTGCGTTTACGTTGTTTGTTATGAGGAGGAAGAAGCGTAGCACAGCGTTTATCGGACAAGTTTATCGATAGCAGAGGTTGTCGATATCAGAGGTGATCGATAACAGTACGGAAGTGTTTTATTTAAAGGAAGAAGCGTAGCACATAGTTAATCGGAAAAGGTTATCGATAGCAGAGGATATCGATATCAGCGGTTATCGATATCAGGGGTGATAGATAACAGCATGTGTTTTTGTGTGTTTTATTTAAAGGAAGAAGCGTAGCACATAATTTATCGGCGAAGATGATCGATTGCAAAGGTTATCGATACCAGCGGTCGATAACATCGATAACAGTACGGAAGTGTTTTATTTAAAGGAAGAAGCGTAGCACATAGTTAATCGGATAAGGTTATCGATAGCAGAGGATATCGATATCAGCGGTTATCGATAACAGTACGGATATGTATTATTTTCAAGAAAGAAGCGTGACACATCGTTAATCGGATAAGGTCGATCAATAGCAAAGGTTATGGATAACAGAGGTCATCGATAAGAGTACGCAATTGTTTTGTTTTTAAGAAAGAAGCGTAGCACATCGTTTATCGGTTATGGGTTATCGATAACCGTACAGTTGTGTTGATTGTCGTTGTTGTTTTTTTTTTTAGGCATAGCGCAACAGCAAAGCAAAAGTCGAATGGAAGAGAAAAGAAAAAAAGAAAAGAAAAAAAAGAAGAAGAAAAAGAACAAAAATATGGTGTTAGTGAATTCAATAATCGTTATACAATTACCTTTCCAATGTGGGTATTATCTTGATCTGATCCTCGCCAGCGACAAAATGGCCATAAAATGTTGCCTTCATCAATGCTGTAAATAACCTTTTACCCAATATTTTGTTTGACCATTTCATAAGCTGCGATAATTTCGTTTTTAGACAAAATTTTAAAGATTTGTTTTCGTTTTTATATTTATATAAATCAAGGCATATGTATATATTATATATATATATTGGGTTTTTTTTTTTTTTTTTTTTTTTTTTGTTGAAAAGGAAATTGCAGAAAATTTCAATGTACAGAAAATACGCAACGAGCAAAAGAAGGGCAAAAGAAAATATCGCATATCAAAAAGAACTCATGTTTTCCTACCTCAAAAACACAAAAACACAAAACAACAACTCATTCATATACGAGCCTCTCGCTCGCACACTCACGCCGCCCACGTCATGTGGGCAAAGATCGAGGCATATTTGTCACCTTTCTTTTTCTCTCTCTCTCGCTCTCTTAAGGCACATAAATCATTTGGAATGCCGCCAAAGCGCAGGCCATATGCAATGAGAGCGCGAGAGAGCGAAAAACCAACAGACAGAGACGATCGTGTCAAGGCCAAACGCGCTGACACAGCATGCGGCGAACTTGCGGCGAATATTTTTGAAGAGAGCGCAAGGGATCGTCGAACTGAGCAGGGCTGAGCTTGAGCACTGCGCGCGCCTGCTCAAGTAATTAAAATGGTAAACGTCAAGCAGCTGCCGTAAAAGCTCATAAAACAAAAAGAAACGACAGGAGCTTTTTTTTTTTTTGACAGGCACGTGTGATGGACTAAACGAACCGGTTGACAAGACAGTGAGGGGGGGGGGGGGGGGGGGGTCAGACTGTGACAAACCAAAAAGAGCAACTAACTGTGTACATGTTGCTTGTGTGTGTGTGTGCGTGTGTGTGTGTGTGGTTTTTCAAAACTGGTTACATAAAAATTGGCAACGCCGCAACATCTCGAGTACTTTTGTTTTAGTTGTTCTCATATTTTTTTTTTTTTTTCGGCGAATGCTGAAAAGCAAGCACAGGTGTTCGATTTTGAGCTGTGGCCCCGCGTCACGAGACCTGCCAAACGGACGAGCGGTAAAAATAGAATCGGGCAAAAAAAAAAAAACACACACACACACACACATAAGAACAATTAACATGGCTATTAAGTTGCCAACAAATACAATGTGCACATGTACAAAAAAAAAAAAAAACACACATCAATTTGTTGTATTTGCAGCGCTGCGATTATTGCAATTCACGTTAATCAATTTTCCATCAAATCGATCAAACTGTAAACTGTGTAATTATAATCGATAAGCATATATGTATGCAGGCAACAAAGGCGAAAAAACATACCCACACAGACACAAACATCAACACGTATACGTAATAATAATAACACATGCATATGTATTTACATATACATACATACGAGGGCGAGAGCCGCAGTTGCCGTTTTGATTGGCGCGCTTTTGGGGGCCTGCCTGTTAAGCATTTACATATGCACACACACACACACATAGATAGAGAGATGTGCGTATGTGTGCGCCTGACCGACCGACTGACGCAGCTGGCGTCTACTCGGCTGGCTTGCGCGCAGTAAACAGCAGCGTTCAGCAACGGCCTCCAACAAGGTCATAAAATGCATTTGATTCGCACACCCGTTGAGTCACAAGCTCATTCGCATACACGCTGAGCATTCCCCCTACACTACACACACACAGACACACAGACACAAGCCAACCAATTGAGGCGGCAATTAGCGCTGCATTCACTCAAATTTTGATGTGTCATTTAAAAGCCATCAAGGCGCAGACAGCTCAGCAGAGGGGGCAGGGCGCGCCTGCTACTGGCAGGCAGGTAGACAAGAGGCAGCTCAAGTAAGACAAATGACAGACTGAAATAGACTGAAGAGTGTGCACAGAGAGTCGAGAATATAAATAGAAAACTGAATATTAGTATAACACAGCGGCAGGGGGGGGAATGGGCAACGGACGCTAATACTTTGCTAATGATTACTTTATATAACACTGAGCGTAACGAAAGCTTGGGAACATTTGATGACTCTTTGTGAGTGTGAAAAGAGAGAGAATTGAAGGGAACAGTAACGCAATCAATTTGAGTTTTATCGAAGTTGTGCGACGACTTAAGAGGGATAATTGGGCTTAACAATGCAACTTAACAGTTAGCATGTCATAAATCACTCTACACACAGAGAGAGCGGCAGAGATCAACCACAATTAAAGAGACTTAAAGATCAGGACAATTAAAGTAGAGTGTGCTTAAGCTCAAGCCCTAAAGAGAGTTGAATGAGTGGGAATGCATTAAGCATTAAAGAGAAATGCACTAAGCCCAAGCTTGCATAATAGGAGAGCCTACTAACAGAATTAGATCGGGGGAATTGGAAAATGTCAACAATCAAAGAACGGACAGAGATGTGAGATGTGGGCTTTGGCTCAAAAGCGACAGTTTAAATGCACAGAGTGAAATCTTTTGCAACTTTTATACTCAATAGGACACATGCAAGAGAGAGGCCAACCGACCGACCGACCGAATTTGAAGAGCGTGAGAAAGACTGGAAAATGGGACAAATGCATTATTGAGCTGTTATACCCAATAGGAAAAGTGCAGATAAGAGCAAAGCCTAAGAGCAAAAACTAGCGGTAAGCTGACGCCAACTACTGTAGTCTAAAGAGAGTTATGTAGATAGATACTGATAATATTGTACATAGATGCATAGGTTGCATTGCGGCGCTCAACTTACCGTCATATTGTGCTCAACCAGCTTCTCGCTGGAACAGATCATGTAGACCATATAAGCGCGCACCAGCTCCCATGTGGTTTTGCTCTTAAATGCCGCTATCGGATCATTGAAGCTGACATCGAGTGGATCGCGCTGGGGCTTGCCCTCGGGCTTCGATTGGTAGGGCTTCGCATCGGCTGCGCCCCGTTTGGCGGCGCTGCCACCATCGTCAGTGACCGCTGAAATCGCTACCTGCGCCTGCTGCTCACGCGCCGCCGAGTGCAGGCAGCGAGCGCCGTTCAAGAATTGATTCTGCCAGCGCAGCGCATATCGATGCGAATGCAGAGCGCTCACCATGTCCAGAGCAGCATTTTTGCTGCCGCTGCTTGCGTTGGCGTTGACGTTGACGCTGGCGCTGGCGCATGCTGTATGTAGGCTTCTTCTATGGCAACGTTTGCCGTTGTTGCAAAATGCCGCTGCACTGGCCAAATAACCGTTGCTGCTGACGCTGCTGATGCTGCCAACGTTGCGACTGTAGTAAACGAATTTAATTGTTGTACGTGGGGCGCTCAAGGAACGAAGTTGAGCCATTACAGAGCGGAATAGATGGCCGTGGATTCCAAGCTGATGTTACGACTCCTTTCCAAAAATATAGCGAGAGAGAGAGAGAGAGCGAGGCCGGGTGAGAGGGCAATAGCTGCTCTTCGTCTGCTTCTGTTGTTTTCTTCTTACGGTTCACACAATTTGCACACACTTTTACTTCTCTTGTTCTTGTTGCTTCTGATGCTGCTGCTGCTGCTACTGCTTCTGCTGCTTCTGGTGCTATGAAACAATCTCACAGCTGATTTTGTGTGTGTTTTTTCTTGCTTGCGTTTCGTTGCTTTTTGCCTGCGCTGTTCTTGCTGTTGTCTTAAAGCTTTTCGCCTCTCTGCAAGAATTATGTGTTATACAACAATTGCAAGAAGGGGAAGAAACAGCAAGAGCGAGAGAGCGTGTAAAAAAAAGAGAGAGAGAGAGAGAGAAAGGAGAGGTTAGAGAGCAAACAAAACATACGAAAATTTGACACACACAACTTGTGCTCAAATACACACACACACACACAGACACACATACTTAAAGGCACGCACACCGTACACCGCACACTAAACAATGTGCACGAAATTAAATTAAAAGCGAATTTAAATTTGAGTTGCTTAGCTTCTGCTTAAATTGTTGACGTTGTTTTTTTTTTTTTTTTTTTTTTTTTGGTGTGTTTATTGTACCTGCCTTCTATATTTATTGTATTTTATTTTTTTGTTGTTTCCTTGTTGCTCTGATTTTCTTGATTTTTTTTTTTCGTTTTGCGTTTTGCGCTACGTACGCCGAAACGTTTGGCCACGGCAAAAGCACAGTTCAAACTGTCAAGACAGCGGCGAAATGCCAACCGAAGGCGCAACGAGCCGAACACGGCCAGCACGAACACAAACACGAGCGCACGACCGACCGACCGACAGGCAGGCAGGCAGGCAGGCAGGCCATTCATCCTGCACTGTCGTTGTCACACGCCTCGCTTACATAATGGTTGCGGCGCCCACGCGAAACTTCGCTGTGTGACGTCACGCGCACCAGCCTCCGCTTGCGAATCACGGCGAAATAGACCATTGGTGGAGGCGGCGGCTTATTAAAGCACCCCATTAGGGGGGGGGGGGGGGGGGGGGGGCTGAATTATATTTTAATTGTTTTTTCTTTTCTTACGTTTTTTTCTTTTCGTTAATTTAAATTAAAATGCGCTACAAGTGTTGACCACGACAATGACAATCGCCGCGGGGCCAAACACTAATTGGTGTTAATTCAAAAACGTGCAGAGAAGCCAAACCCCTCCACCGCTGCCCCCTTTATCTAGCTATCTGTCTCACTCAGAGCAGGCCAGCGAGACCAAGCCGACGGCGAAAATTGTGATTGCTCATTTTAATTTATTAGCGTGACGCTAAATGCAAAGCAGACGAGACGCAGTTGCTGCCGCCGCAGTCGCAGTCGCCGCAATCAAATTAATATTAAACTTGGCGGCGGGTTTCATTGCGCACAGATTTCATTACACTTAATTATTGTTGCTGCTGCGGAGAGTGAGAGCGGGAGAACCAAAGCGAGAGAGCGAGAGCGAAAATTGCGACGGCGTCGCGCAATTGGACAAAAAACAAAAAAAAAATGCAAATTCATCAAAAGAAATTGTTTTATGCTGCTGAATAGAATCGCCTACACTCACACACACACACACACACCCGCAATTTTGTGCATGGATAGTTATATAACCGTTGCGTGCGCTCCGTTACACTGACTGAGATCCTTATATTACCCATACATACACAAACGCACACGCACACACACACACACACACACAATTCGCCCGTTGACCAATTCGCCGCCTTTTGAATTTCTCTATTTATATTTATCTGAATGTTTGTGCCATTTTTGTGCTCTATCCGTTCGGTGTGTGTTTCTTTTTCCAACAACTTACCCTCTCTCACACATGCATACAAATTGATATACACAACTAAGCATATATGTGTATATGGTACATATAATGCGCATACGTCTCTAAACACTTTCAATTTCTGATGCGCTCTTCGAAATTTCGAATACTCTTATTTTAAGCCAAAACGGTAAAAGGAATTTTACTGCTTATTAATTAAAGCGTATAAAAAGGTTCAGATTCAAGATCTGACAACAAACTCGCTGCTGCCGTTATATGCGTACCTTAGCAAATGGATTTTGGTTGTTTTTTTTTTTTATATTTTTTTTGTTTTTCGTCGTGTGTGTGGCTGTTGCACGTTTCTTGATACAGATACAACCTTAACACAAGTGTGAGGGTCTGAATGCGCGCACCAACTAAATTAAGGCCAACATTGAAGCGAAACTGTTGGCGAAAGCTCACACGAAGCTTGCGAATGGGTCAAAACCGAAACCGAAACCGAAACCGCGTGTGTAGCACAGTCGCAGCGAATGCGGCGAACAGCAGCAGCAATGGCGGCAATGTCAGCTGTTAGCTGTTGTTGTCTGTTGCCTTTTGAACTGTTTGCTTTGCACGTGAGGTCTAGCAAAGTGCACATAAATCACGCGCTCGCCATTTTATTTTTGTTGCTTAACACAATCCTCGCATACTTCACGACCAATTGGAATGCTGTCGCTTATCTACGCAGCAGACGGTTGGCTGCGGTCGCCAAGGCTTATCTTGCACATACCAATGCACACATACACGCACACACACATGTATAAATACGCAGCACCGGCTAGCTGTTTACTGTTGTTCTTTGTGTACGCACTAGAGTTGCAACAAATCGTTCTTGTTAAGGTTCACTTGAACTGTTCACTGAACTAAGCGAACCAACGAAGACTCAAATGATTGTTCGTTGTCCTATTATCGTTCGAACAGTTATGCGACTTACACCAACAAAACGAACAACTTTAACTGTAACTCACACGATATTGGAACTAACAATTCAAAAGATGGCACTGAAATGAAAGCTTTGTTAGTTCGGAGCAGGAATTGAACGAACTAACCTGTGCAACTCTACTGGAGCCGCTGTGCATCTGGCAACGCCGCCGACTTGCACAAAAACGATGTGCACGCGGTAATTATCGATAAATATCGTCATCGTGCGGCATTTTGAATTGAGATTTGAGTACATTTTTTTTTTATATGAATATATATGTATATATATTATATTAGGTATATGTATATGTTTTGCATAATGTTTCCACTTTCACAATAGATAATAGATAATAAATTATAGCTAATATTAATTAACAGTTAATAAGCGCAGCACATGTGCATATTTTTTGTAATATTCTTTGCTTTTCCAAGAAAAAGCAAAAACAAAAAAAAAGAAAACTTAACAAATCGAGCAAAACAGAAATTGAAACTATGCGGCGCCGTTGTTAACAATTAACAAAAAAAAAAAAACAAATATTTGATCTAAAAAAAAAACGTTTTGCGCTCTGCAATTAACTTTAACATGTTGCGTGCCTGGGTGCATGTGTGTGTGTGTGTATACATATTATATATATATATGCGTGTGTGTGTGTGTGTGTTTACATAATATTATTGACTAAATTGTAGATCCAACGAATGTCTATTTACTCTCAATGTGTTAATGCCGCACAATTCTCTCAAACTAGAGCTACAGCTAGAGGCACGTATATATCATCATTATCATCATCATTGACATCATCATCATCATTGACATCATCATTATCATCATCATTGACATTATCATATACATCATTATCATCATTGACCTTATCATTATCATTGACATCATCATCATCATTGACATCATCATTGACATTATCATTGACATTATCATCAACATTGACATTATCATTATCATTGACATCATCATCAACATTGACATCATCATCATTGACATCATCATCATTGACATCATCATCATTGACATCATCATCATCATTGACATCATCATCATTGACATTATCATCATCATTGACATTATCATTGACATTGACATTATCATTATCATTGACATTATCATCATCATTGACATCATCATCATCATTGACATCATTATCATCATTGACATTATCATCATTATCCAAGGAAGTTAAAACAATAACAATCACTAGACATATATCTATGTATATATGTATAAATACAGCGCCTGACAACAAACTAGAAACCAAAATTAATGCGCGATTCTAAATTTTCACTCTTTTTTTTTTCAGCACAGCTTATAATATCATATCATATGTGTTCTAGCTTATATTATTTTCGTTACACGAGCCAGAAGTATTTAGCTGCACGCAGCGCAATACCCTGTTAAAAAGAGTTCAAAAAAAAAGAAGGGGGTATCTACTTGATGGCAGTGTGTCTCTCAAATTGTTCTAGGCGTGACGGATGCATACTTTTTTTTTTATTTTTCTCTCTCGAGAGAAATCGGAGAGAATTTGGATTAATCTAGCCCCTAGGGGGCGTGGCTAAAATTTAAAAAAACTTCTTTCGTGCACATTTATGTTGGACTTGTTTCTAAAGAAAATCAATTGAATTAAGAAAGTGCCTGTGCTTCTTTTTTCTCCTTAGGTCTGGGCCTCTTTCCAACTAGGGCCTATTTTTGAAGGCTTACATTGATAATTGGTCTAAATTTGGTTTGGTTTCTAATTGGTTGTCAGTGCCTGTAAATACATATGCGGATAAGTACAGTCGCAACAAAGAGATGTTGCTGCTGCTGCTGCTGGCAACTGTTGCTGCTGCTGCTGCTGGCAACTGTTGTTGCTGCTGCTGGCAACTGTTGTTGCTGCTGCTGGCAACTGTTGCTGCTGCTGCTGGCAACTGTTGCTGCTGCTGCTGCTAGCAACTGTTGCTGTTGCTGCTGCTGCTGCTGCTGCTAGTTGGACTTGGTCAGCTCGGTGCGATTGGCGGCCACCTCGGCGAGAATGAGCAGATCTGAGGTAGTGGTCACATCGTAGCCGGCCTGCTCGTAGGCGGACAGCGTCGACGACGATGACGACGACAGCGGCGGCGATGCGGCAACAGTTGTTGCTGTTGCTGTTGTGGCGGCAACTGTTGCTGCTGCTGCTGCGGCGCGCGTCTCATTGAAATAGTAGCAGCCATTTATGGTCAGGGGCAGTATGGAGGCCACCTCCTGCTCGATGGCGCTGACATCGCGACGCGTGATGCTCTCCTTGCGCGCCTTGCGCTTCTGGCTGCCCACGGCAGCAACAGTTGCTGCTGTTGCTGTTGACACGGCAGCAACAGTTGCTGCTGCTGCTGCTGCTGTTGCTGCTGGGGTGCTGCTGCTGGTGTTGGAGTTGAAGTTGGGGTTCCGTTGCTTTTTGCTGCTGCTGAATTTCTTCTTCTTTTTGGTGCTGCGCTTGCGCTGCAAATAGGCATCCAGACTGAGCGCCGGCAGCTCCCTGATCTTCTCCTCCAAATCGAATTCGTTTGCCGCAACAACACGCAACGCTGTTGTCGTCTCCGGCTGCACCGGCAGCACCAACTGTCCGCCGGAGACAACAACAACGGCGTTTGTTGGTGAAATTGGCGGCGTATTGCTGTTGGCATCGTTGTTGCTGCTGCCGCCACTATTGAGGCGACATTTGGACTTCTTGGCAATGGCCGCCAGTTGGCCAGAATTGATAAGTTCCTGATAGATTTTGCCCTTGCAGCTGCGCGCGGTCTTTAGCTTTTTGTTGGGCGTGCCGCGCTCCTCCTCCTCGCTCGAATTGCTGCCGCTGTCCAGCAGTCGCTTATTATTATTACAATTATTACTATTATTATTATTGTTGTTGGGCATGTGCGTGCTCAGGAACTGTGTCGTCTCGCTGAGCACCTGCTGCAGCGCATAATCCTTGTCCGGCACACTGCCCGCATTGGCGCTGAGCAAGGCGCTCAGCTCACCCATTTGTGTCTCGTCCGCAAACTTGAAATAGTTGCTGCGCAGCATATGCGCCACATCATTGGGCGCCCACTGGAGCTGCTGCTGTGGATGCGGCTGCAGCTGCTCCTCATTCATTTGTCCGGCGGGAGCATTGCTGGGACGGGTGGCGAGCGTCCGCAGCGGCGGTGCGGGCAGTTTGTACCATTTGAAATTGGGATTGGCATTGAAGAAGGCATCCTTGTTCTGAAAAACAAAAAATTGTTCTTAATTATTATCTAAGAAGACTTTAATTCATCTTGTATCGGACCACAAACAAACAACATTGCAGCAGATCAGAGGGAGAAGGCGCGAACAACGCGCAAGGGAGATAGAAAGGAAGTGCGTGCGGGCGAGAGGGAAAACAAAACAAATGTGTGTGCATGCATACAACACATATAAGTCATATATTGCAAAAACCCACAAAAGCTATCATAATCTTTCATTTCTTTTCATCTTTCATTTTTATATTTGGCCAAAAGCAGCTTTATTGCTTCTCGAAATTAGCAGCTCGCATAGATTAGATAAATGCGCGGCTAACGACTTTTGGCGCACAATTTAAATTCAAATTAGCATAGCGAACATGTTGCCAGATTGCTTAATTAAACCATGTGGCAGCACCACCAATGAATGTTTGTTGAGTTTGGCAGCAGCAAATGCAGCTCAAGCTTATCTGTGGCTAAATTGTGCTATTAATAGTTGAAATAAAATTGATAAGCAGAACAGAACAAAAACGAAATAAAAAAAAATTACTTAAATCAAAAGAAATAATGAGCACGAGTATTATATAAAGATCAGCTGTTGTGCTCATTATTGCTGTTAGTATTTTCTGTTCACAATTTACATATGTAAGTCAAACATGTGGCCAGATCGTTTACTGAAGCTATGTGGCAGCATTAAACAGTTAATTAGCGAACTAACTATTGCTGTTAGTATTTTCTGTTCACAATTTACATATGTAAGTCAAACATGTGGCCAGATCGTTTACTGAAGCTATGTGGCAGCATTAAACAGTTAATTAGCAGGCAATTATGAATTGGAATTTTAAACTGATTTTAAAGAAATGGCGTATTATTGAAAATGCATTTAATGTTTACCTGTTGCGCCAAATCGGTGAAGCACTGCTTCTCCTGCTCATCCAGTGCGGCCCACCAGTCGCCGAGTATTTTTGTGATGGCTCTGTTGCAATTATGATTGAACGATTTTTGGTTATATTTAGGTATTTATTTGTTATGGCCACAGCGTTGCCAGACTTACCGATTCTCCAGCGATTTGTAGCGCTCTTTGACAATGGCGCGATGCCTTTTACAGAATATAAGAAATGCGTTCATGGGACGCCGTGCATGATGCTCCGGCCGCATATGCTCCTGCTGATCCACCTTGGACATCAGCTGCTCCTGCTGCAGTTGTAGTTGTGGTGCTGCTGCTGCCGCCGCCGCCGCCGCTGTTGCAACAGTTGTTGCCGTTGGCGTCACAGTGACCACATCCACCTCGACATGCTCCTCGGAATCATCGTCATTTGTGTTGTTGGGCACATTTAGATGGGTTTTCTTTGTTGGCTGCCGCTCCTCTTCCTCATCATCATCCTCATCCTCCTCCTCCTCGTCGTCATCGTCGTCGTCGTCGTCCTCTTCATCTTCCTCGCCCAGTTCGCTGCTGCTGCTGTGCTGATGTTGTTGTTGTTGTTGCTGCTGTTGTTGCTGCTGTTGTTGCTGCTGCTGCTGATGATGATGATGATGCTGCAGTTTGGCATAATTGTGTACATCTTCGATTTGGCGAAAGGCATTTTCTTGGTCCTCAGTCCTTTGTTGTTGTTGCTGTGGCATTGTCCATGCTTCAATAAAGGCACTTTTGGCTAACCCTGTTGTTGTTGTTGCTGGTTGCAACTGTTGCTGCTTGTTGTTGCTGCTGCTGCTACTGCTGCTGCTGTTGTTGCTGGACTGAATGCTGACTTGTCTAAGCTGCGGCTCTTTGGTGCTTGCTGAGGTATTTACTTTGCCAGGCGGCATCCATTTCAGTGAGGCGCCTGCCTTTTGCTTCGGCTGCTGCTGCTGTTGTTGTTGTTGTTGTTGGGGAAAAGCCATTAGAAAATGCTTTGCCTCCGCTTCGGTTTGTGTTATTTGAAATATTTTTGGAGTGGTTGTTGTGTTTGTTTCTGTTTTTGTTGTTGCTGGGGCGGCATTGTTGATTAAACTTTGGCTTTTGTGCTCATTTGATGCTGCTGGCACAATTTTAATGCCACTGCTGTTATTGTTATTGTTGTTGTTGTTGCTGTAGTTAAAATGCAGCGTAATTGCAGCAGTCGCCGCAGCACCTGCGCCCGCACCTGCCACACTAAAACTGTTGATCATATTTGGTTAAAATGCGCGCCGCGTCGCGTCCTCGTGAATTGCATGGATTTTCTTGTTTGATTATTGCCGTTGGGCCTGCGAAATAAAAACCAAATATAAGCAACAAATTCGAATAGGAATTTCACAAATTTGTATCACAGTGTGTGTGTGTGCGTGTGTGTGTGTGTGTGTATGCGCTACTGTATACGTATGCGCGTATGACAGTGCTACCATTGTAGCTTAAAATTGTTAACCATCTGGCAGCACTGCGCGAGTTGCTCAGTTGTTTACAAAATACAACGGCGAGAGTGGGTGGAAAAGGTATGGTAAAGAGAGCGAGTGAGGTAGCAAAAGAGCGAGCGCACAGATGATATTCGCAAGCGTTCGCTTTGTGTGCGCCAACCACTAACAACACAGCATGTATCAGCTGTGTGACGTTTGACGGTGAATATGCACTAATGTGTATGTGTGCGTGTGTTTGCCATTGGCACTGACGCGCCCGTTAGTCGCAAAACAAAAATAACACAAAAACAACACACACGAACAGGTTCAACTTGTATTAAATATTATTAGAAATTGTTTGAACGAGCAGAAGAAATTACGACGAGAATTTATTGACTACTCGATATTGATATAAGTTGAACTAACTCTCACTCTCTCTTGCATTGCAAACTTTAAAAATAATATACATACATACAGATGTGTATGTGCACACATGTACATACATATGTATGCGCTTATGAACAAAGCAGCAAAAGTGTGTATGTACTTGGATGTATGTATGTATGTTACTGGCACACGGACAAACAATTGAAACGTCAGCGTATACATAAGATGTATGTATGTATGTTTTGCATAAATAAAAAAACTCATTTCGATTTATATGTATGTATGTACGCACAATGAAAAACACAACATCGGGGGAAAACAGCAATAAGTCAACTACGCAGCGCGAAAACCAAAGTTTCCAATTGCATGGAATATTTTTCAACACTGACAATAATGTTAAACACTGGCTGCCAGCTAGCCAATTATTGCAAATAACTGTTAAGTCGAATATGTGACTGGCGGTTGCCTAGTTAACACATGTTAATTAATTATTAACATTATTTGCATTTTTTGTTGATCGCTCACTTTTGCCAATTCTGCTACTGCACAATTTGCTGACTATTTTTTATACATGTATATTTTTTGTGACCGCCCGTTTACCGTCGGATTTCATATAACATAAGCAAAAAAAAAACTACTGTGAACATTGCTACGTGTACAGCTGTGTGACCGTATGTGTGTGTGCATGTGTGTGAGAGAGAGCGAGAGTGCGAATGCGCGCAGTTTCTGTATGTGTGTGCGGGAGATGCCGATGCCGTTGATTTGCCGTTTTGTTTTCGATGCGATTACTTTGAACTTGATTGTGCCTGTGTGCGGGAGATGTACTGCGCTTAAAGCGCTGTTGTGTGAACGGCAAGTATTTGTAAATTTTAGCTTGGGATCCATCTCCAACAGTGTTGCCACTTGACGCATTTGTACCGTGAAAAGTGCAGCCATAGTGCACAGCTGTCAGCTGTTACACCGTTGCTTTGTTATTGCTGTTGTTGTTGTTATTGTTGTTTCGCACCAGCCGTACACGGTCAAGGCCAAAGCGTTGTCGGAGCAACCATTGATGAGAGGTGGTTGCCAGACACGAGGATTGGGGGTGTTTTGTGGCGCCGCGCCGTAACCTTCAAACAAGTTCTCGTTCTAAATTCGCTTCTAGGTTATGTTTCGTGTGGCTTAATAATAAAGGGGGCGTAAGACAGGAATTGTGTGTTGCATTTGAGTGCAACAATTTTTTTTTTTTTTTTGTAAAAATGCATGCAATAATATGTTCATATGTATTTGTGTGATGTTTCGTTCAGTTCATTTAAAAACAAAGATACAGATATGGATATATGTACGTACATATATATATATATAAAGTTGCCTATTTATATATATACGTACGTACGTGCACATAAATATGAATGTATGTATATATGCAGGCAATGTAGACGCGCGCACACAAACAAACAAACACACAGACACACACACACACACACACACAAAGTCGACAAGCACAAAACAGCTGATGACGTTTGTTATTTTGTTCGCAGTGATTATTTTGCAAATAAAACGGCAAAGCAAAACGAAAAACAAAATGTCGTTGAATTTGATTTTGGCATTTTGTTAAATGAAAACTTCAACATCGAATTGGCGCATTAATTAAGCACAATATCAAATATTTATTTATTAAACAATTTACTTTGAATTTCACCAACAATCAAACGGTGTCTCGAAATCCCAATCGAACTCGTACTGCTCTTGTTTAATTAATTTTCAATGTTGATGATGTCAAATGAGAATGAAAACTGACTGTTTTTGTATTGTGCGGACAGAGGCAACGGCGGCGACGGCGACGACGACGACGGCGACGGCGACAGAGAAACGTTCGTCGTCGTCGTCGTCGTCGTTGCCTGTGTTTCGTTCAATTGAGCGCAGCAGCAGCAAAAACAACGAAAATGTATTTATTTTTTCTGTTTTTGTTATTGCTTTTGCCAGCGTGCGTGTGTGTGTGTGAGTGTGTTTGTGCGCCACATACAATCGCACAAGCAAATAGGCCCGCTGGCGCTCGCTCACTGTTGAGAGCGAATATTCTGTTCTTGTTCTTGTTGCCAGTGTTGTTGGCACTGACTCTCTTGCACTTGCGTGTGGGGCTCAGGCTCAGCTGTTTGACTGCCTGTTACTGTTGTTTTTATTGTTGTTGTTGTTGATGATGGAAAATCGTGTGCAGCGAATTTTCATATGCAAATTGGGGCAAACAGGAAGAATTTGGTTTCTCCATGAAAAACATGCATAAATGCTGTGATTGATACACTAAGTATTGCAACAAGTAAATTTCCTCTCTTCGCTGCATGCATGTACGTTTGTGTGTGTGTGTGTGCATTGCTGCTATTTTTTTGGTTTCCTTTGACATTTTGGCAAATTTGGAAGCTTCTGCTATTGCATAATCAATTTTAACAGTTTGTTTGCATTTGCATTTGCCCAGCGTTGCCTACACCAAAGCAGAGCAGCAGCAGCAACCGCAACAATGTTATTGTTTTTCAAGGTCACACACACAAGCAAGCGCTACAACGTCCCCAACACCCACCGGCCATCATCAGTTGAGTTCAATTGTTGTGTCTTACCGTTCGTTCGCTCTCTTTTGCGCGCGTTGCTCGATTGTTGCGCTCTCGCAAACAAAACTTGCCGGGAGCAAGACACACACATACACACACACACACACAACAACCATTCAAACTTGCTATCACACATACTCCATGGGTGTGTGTGTGCGTGTTGGGTTTTTGTTTGTGGGGCTCACAGTCTACAGGAGGATACTGTTATGCATTGAATGTGTGCGTATGCGTGTTGGTTTTCAGGGTCAGGGAAATTCGATTTTTTTTTTTGTCGTCGTCGTTGCCGTTGAGAAGGCCTTAATTTAAGACAATGACAAAGCAATCAATTTTTAAGTGAGAAAATGCGACACGTAAATAACGTTAATGTTAATGAACTGTACTGAGTACAGTCTGTTAATATTGTTTACGCACAGTTAAATAACGAACAAAAAAATAAACTACAAATAATATTTAAAAATCAATCTTAACAGGCACCGATTTTTTTTAAAAGAGAAAGAATGATCAAAATGTCAACAATCATAGAAATTAGTTTAAAGCATAAGTATCGGCTGTGTTGGGAAATTTATGGCAATTCAATGTTTACGAAGGAAATTTACAAGGCACTTGGTGGGACATTAAAAGTCCCAGCTTAATAAATCAGCTCATATTTAAAATGGCGTCCGTTACTAATACTAATGTAATAAGCAACTGAGAATATATACATACATGTATTTGGAATATACACATTTCCATATATTTTTTTTAAATATCTCAGTTAATTACTGACAAACCAGGACATAAGATATTTGGAAGATGTTTATTTGTTACCAAAAAGTGTTAAGAGAAACGGGTGCAAAGTCAAAAAAAAAGCTTACTGTGCCAATACTTGTGAGCGTGTCTGTATTTGTGTGTGTGTGTATTCGTAAATACGCAGCTGATTCGGGCACTTCCGTGCATTATAAAACCGATATGTATACGCACACACACACACAAACTCGCATAAATGTGTATGCAAATAATTGAATATGTATGCATGTGCGCGCACACACACACACACACACATCTATGCTTGTATGTTTTTTCTTTTTGGCTTTATTTGTATTCCAAGACAAAAGAGCATACAAAATGATAAGGGGGCATTCTTGCGGGCAGTGCTATCGACCAAGAGCCGCAAGAGCCGGGAGAAGGGGCGAATTATTTGTTGTGCTCGCGATAAGCGGTTTGTATAAAAAATAAATAAGAATGATATCGATAAAAAATGAGCAGCAGCGGCAGCAGCATCCCATCTCACTCACCCAAAGTGCAGTTGACATGCGTGACGGGTGTCCGGCGGATTTGCGTTTAGCGCTTGAGCACATCGATAAAAGTCTCGTGCGGCACACGAATGTTGGCAAACATGCGCATCTTCTTTTTGCCCTCCGACTGTTGTTTGAGCAGCTTCATGCGACGCGTCACATCGCCGCCATACTATCGATAAATAGAGTATTGTTATCGATTAAGTTCGCAACATTTTCTTTTTGCAGTGTGGCAACTCACCAGCTTGGCCGTTACATCCTTGCGATAGGCCTTGATGGTTTCGCGCGCAAGCACTTTGCTGCCCACGCACGCCTGTATGGCAATCTGTACCATCTGTTTGGGTATGAGATCCTTGAGCTTGTGCACCATTTGGCGGGCAACGCCGGTTGCCTTGCTGGCGTGCACAATGCGGCACAGCTCCTCGATGGGCCGCCCATTCAGATGTATGTCCAGACGCACCAGATGCGTCTGATGATAGCCATGATCCTCATAGCTGAAGCTGGCATAGCCGGAGCTCAGCGATTTCAGTCGATCATGAAAATCCAATATAATCTCGCTCAACGGCAGCACATACTTCATCAGGATGCGCGACTCATCGATGTTCACCGAGCTCTGCTGCAGACCGCGTCGCTCCACGCACAGCCCAATTATCTGGCCCACATATTCGGTGGGCGTTATGATGGTGCCCAGCACCAGCGGCTCATGGTACTCCTCAATGTTGGACGGATCGGGCAGCAAGGCCGCATTCGATATGTCCAGCGTGTTTCTGCCGTGCTGCTTGATCAGCTTGGGATTGCGCAGCACAATCCGATATGTGACCGAGGGTGCCGTTATGATCGGCTCAGCGCCATGCTCCTGCTCCAGACGCTGACAGAACACCTCCATATGCAGCAGGCCCAGAAAGCCAAGACGCCAGCCCTGACCCAGCGCCGGACTGGAGTCCACATTGACCGTCACCGCCGAATCATTGAGCACCATTTTGTCAATGGCGCTGCGCAGGGCCACATGCTTGGACTGATCGACCGGAAAGATGCCGGCAAAGACAAGCGGCTGCTGTGGCCGATAGCTGCCGGCAGCCGTCGCCGTTTGATGCTTCAGATGAATCGTGTCACCGATGATGGACTCCTTGCTGTTGCGCATATTGCAGGCAATGAGGCCCACCTGGCCGGCCAGCAGGCCGTGCACAGCGCACTCGGCCGGACGCAGCACGGACAGACTCTTGACGGGATACACCTTCTTGGTGGCCAGCGACTGTATATCCTGGCCCACGGCCAGCTGGCCGTTAAGCACATAGATGAGATTGAGTGCGCCGCGATATTTGTCGAACCAGCTGTCAAAGATGAGCGCACGAAATGCGCTCTCGCGCTGCACATTTGGCGGCGGGATTGTCTCAATAACACGCTCCAGCACCTGGTCAATGCCAGTGCCCAGTTTGGCGGAGACGCGCAGCACGCTGGCGGGTTCAATGCCAAACAGCAGCTGCATATCCCGGGTCACCTGATCGGGCTGGGCATGCTTGATGTCGATCTTGTTGAGCACCGGCACAACGGCCAATTGTCGCTGCTTGGCCAGATGATAATTGGCCACGGTTTGTGCCTGTACTCCGTGGCAGGCATCCACCAGCAGGATGACGCCATCGCAGGCGGCCAGCGAGCGGGAGACCTGCCAGAAACAGACATTAATCCCAACCGAAATCGGATGAATACACGCAACCAACCTCGTTGGAGAAATCCACGTGGCCGGGCGTATCGATTAAGTTCAGCAGATACAGTTGCTGTTTATATTTGTAGAATATGGAGGCGGTCTGTGCCTTCACTGTGATGCCGCGCTCCCGCTCCACCTGCAGGCTGTCGAGCACCTGATGCTGGCCGGCATTGCGTGAAATTGCGCCTGTCAGCTCAAGCACACGATCCGCCAGCGTGCTCTTGCCATGATCCACATGCGCAATGATGCTAAAGTTGCGAATACGCTGCACGGGCATCTCCGCAAATTGCCGTAGCAGCGCAGCCTCCGACAAATTGGACGCCGGCGCCGCATCCGATTTGTCTTCCAAGCGAACCAAGGTCGTGCAGAGTGTGCGATGGGCGGCCAAACGTTGCCATGTGCTGCGGCCAGTTGTTTGCGTTAGCGAACGCGTCCAGCGCATTGTTTTGTACATGCTGCTCTGACTTTTAACACATTTTTCGATTTATTTTCATTTAAATATAAGCCGGCACATTTTGTAAATGTTACCGCACAACATGTGAGCTGAGTGCGTAGGGTTGCCAGCTGGTTTCAAACTACAGCACGGCACTTGCCATGGCAATTCATTCACAATATAGTATTTTTTGTTGTGTTTTGGTATTTCTGTGCAGGTGGCAACGCTGTTAGCCGTTTGACCATATTAAGTTTAAATGAAATATTAATTAGTTAAAGCTATTAACGGCACGGCAAACCAAAAAACTTTACAAGTGTTCTGCTAAATTTTAGCCCAGCGCGTGATTCTTCCCAAAATGTGTACACGGTAATGTTTAAGAAATTGTATAAAAAAGCATATATATATATATATATATATGGAGAGGAATATTTAAAGGATTATAAGGATTCGCTTTAACATTAAGTGCGCATACTTTTAGCTTGAGCCTTGACATTAAGCAATTGCATACTGAGCAGCTTACACGTAAGTGACAATGTAATTGTTAATAATAAAAAATAAGCACAAGCGCTTAGCGTTAATACACAAAAAAATACAAAAATGTACATACGATAGGTATGTATATATATATATATATATATATATATATATAGAGAAATAGCTGCAATAGCTTAACGCTCAACTCAATTACTTAGCTTTAGTTATTAATTAAACATTTACGCACTTTCTAAATGATAATTACACAGGCTTAATATAACACGAGTTGGAGGCGATCTTTAACTTTTTCAAATTGTTTAACATCGGCAGAGTTTTTTTTTAGCTTAACTTAAATGCGGTACAAGTACAAATACAAATACAATAAAAATATTTTTTAAAAAAAACGTACACATAATTCAATTGTTAATATCGAAGACGTCATGTCTAAATACATAATAGGAATACAGTTTGTTATTCATTTTCATTTCTTTCTTAGGAGTGATATGAAGTTCGTGTGTGTGTGTGTGTGTGTGTGTGAGTACAAGTGTCTGCATATACGTGTGAGTGAAAGTGTCTGCATATGTGTGTGTGAGTGCAAGTGTCTGCATATGTGTGGGAGTGCAAGTGTCTGCATATGTGTGTGTGAGTGCGAGTGTCTGCATATGTGTGGGAGTGCAAGTGTTTGCATATGTGTGTGTAGTGCAAGTGACTGCATATGTGTGTGTGAGTGCGAGTGCTTGTATGTGTATGTGTGTGTGTGTGTGTTGTTCTGATGCCTTGAGATTTGATTTTCGATCTTTGACTTGCAATTACAGTTATAGTATAAAAAATCACTAGCTAAATATGCACGCATACATATATAGTTACACACACACACGTGCATATATATGTGTGTGTGTGTGTTTAGAATGCAAAAATAAACAGATAATTTAGCGCCCATCGTGAACTTAACTTAAAAACTGCATACAAAATATATATATATATATATATACGTCTATATATCTATCTATATATATATGTATGTATATATGTGATATATAGTTGTATATATATATGTAAATTGCACAAACGTGCGCTAACTGCCGCCAACCTGCCGCCCGATCCTGTAGATATTTGTTCACTTTTGTGCCTGCATGCGCGCCTGCATCTGGGCGAGCATCTCCTGCATGCGTCGCAGCTCCGCCTCCTTCTCCTGCAGTATGCGATCCTTCTCGTTGAGTACACTATTGACGCCCACCTGTACGGTTCCATTGTTGTCGCCGCGCTCCGATTTGATGCCATTCTCTTTGCCCTTAATGCCCTTGGCGAGGCGATCGGAACGATAGTTCTCGTAGTGCACCTCCTGTGTGACCTCCTGCAGATCCTGCATGTGTGTGATCAGCATGGTGCGCAGCTTTATAAAATCACAATGATCCGGATTTTCGACCTCAACCACGCCCCAGGGATAGAGGCGGCCGCGCACCTTTTTGCCTTTGACCTCGAGCAGAGTATTGGCGCCGCAGACGGCAAAAGGCACAGCTTCTTTAAGTTGCTTCACTTGCTCCTTGTAGTCTTCGTCCTCATCTGAATCACAGTCGGGCAGTGGATAGATTTTGATGCCATGGCTCTCGATCTCCTGCATAATGCGGCATTTCAAGCGCAATATCTCCTTTTTTGTCAGACAATCCGCCTTGGCTATAACGGGCACAATGTTCACCTTCGAGTGCAGCTTCTTCATGAACTCCACGTCCAAGGGTTTCAGTCTGCAAAATATACAATTACAATATACAATTGTTGTTTAGCTAATCGGAGCTGCACGATTTACCCATGTCCGAATGGCGATATAAAGTAGAAGCAACAATGTATGCGATTGTCCACAATATTGCGACGATTCAGTCCGCTCTCGTCCTGCAGGAAGCGCTCGTATTGCTCATCAATGTACTCCAGTATGGCGCTAAAGCTATTTGAATTATCGATGGCATCACCGAAACCGGGCGTATCCACAACAGTTAGGCGCAGCTTGACGCCGCGCTCCTCAATCTCCACGGTGGATGCCTCCAGTTTGACCGTTTGCTTTTGTTTCTCTAAATGTTTCTCTATTCAAATCTGTTCGAATTTCAATATTGTCAATAGCGTTTACCTATGGCATCGGGTATAATGCGTTCCGGATACAAATCGGTCAGAAATAAACTGTTCACCAGCGTCGATTTGCCCAGACCCGATTCGCCGACGACCATCAGCGTAAACTCGAAGCCCTTCTTAACGGATTTGCGATGCACTTGATTCGGCAGATTGGCGAAGCCCACGTAGCCGGGTGTCTCGATGCTGGAAAACTATGCAACACAAATACACAAATAATTCAAATAACGGGTATTGCGGTAACCAATCCGGTTGAGTCATCAGCGGCTTATCTATTGCTGCATGCTTTTTCTCGCTTGCACGCTCAAGGCAGGCTGAATTAGAGCTGAGCGCGTGTCGTGACACGATTAATTATTGAAATTATACATATTCAAGTAATCAAACTCATGTGAATAAAAATGTAAAATAAAAAAAAAAATGGAAAATAAATAAAAAGGAAAAGGGACATAAAATTCATGCAGAACGCACAATGGTTGTTCGTGCTCGTGTCTTGTTAGACAAAATTCGACACGCGCCCATCTCTATGCCTGAGTACAGCTAGTGTCTGCGCGGGGGGTGGCCGACTTCGAAGCCTGGCTCAAAGAAAGTAGCGGCGTTATTTTGGAATTCCAGACACGCGCGAGTTTCTCTTGCATATCTAAGCCGTGCACACACACACACATACACGCACAAGCAAACATGTGCGGCTAAGTACATGCACACATTTATTATTTTCATATATCATATATCTCTATAAGTACACACATACAGCACCTAAAGCCATTGACATTGCGAACAGTGTGTACATATGCATGCACATAGTATATAGGTCACAGGCCGCAACAAAGGAACATATACTTCAACTGACGCCGACGCCTTTTTTTATTTGCCGGCTTAAGTGATTCATGCTGCACTTTTGGCTGAACCAATTTTGAATATCAAGCGACGATTAATTAACTTACACGCGCACACATATGTGAGCTGCATATTTGTGCTTGTCTGTGGTGTGTGTGCATGTGCAGCAGCAGCGCATTGCAAGCTGCACACATGAGGAATTTGCATGATAAGCCGCAAACACACATATACAAAACAAGAACGCCATCGTCGTCGCGAGCGGGGATTGATGATACGCTTGATATAACCGCGCCCAGTATGTCACCACTGAGCCAACGCGAGTAACGGCGCGAAACACTCACAAGTGCACTCAATTATTTGTATTGAATTTATTAAATAAATATAAATTACTTACGCCCTTTGTATCAGCCATATTAAAAAAACAAAAATTAAATGACGAACAAAATATGTTGCTCATGAACTGAAATGAACTAGAACCAACACACACTAAATGGCAACAGTGTGACCAGCATGTACATTGCTTGATTTCGCCAAAAATGTATCGAAAAGCAACCGAAAATACCTTGAGCGTAGAAACGATTGCAAGATTGATTTAATACAACATTTACAGATTAAGCTATTAAATTACAATTAATAGAAGCAGATTAAGTTAAAAAAAAAACTATTGGCGTCGACATAATTACTTTGCAGCTTGTGACCGTTTATGCGTGTTAAAGATTGCCATTTTAAAGTTGAACGCAGTGGCAACCTTGGGAAATGAACGGAATTTAAGCCGTTAATAGTTAAAATTGAAACTACAAATTTAAGAAACTTAAAATTTAAGAAATGCAGCGATTGTTAGCTAAAATTTGGGATAAACAAAAGTTGTATGGCTTTTATAACTGTTAGTATTTTATTTTTAAAACAATAGACATATTTATGTATGCTGCTGGATCATGACGCACATGCACTTAAATTCAATACAATACATACATCGATGAAATTCAAAGTTTTGATAGGGTTCGGGTATCAGGCCGTTGTTTAACTATATAATTCACATTTATTTCATTTCTTTTCTCAATATATGTATGTATGTATTAATGCGCCCGCAACCGCATCGTTAACTATTCCGAAGTACACATATACATACATATATATTCATGTATAGCTATATGTGTGCGTGTTCGTGTGTGTGTGTGTGTACGTATGACGTTGACAAAACATCGACTAGAATATGCAAAAATCTCAAAAAATTAAAATATTCAAACAAAACAAAAATAAAGAAAATGTAACCAATATCAAAATCATAAATCGTAAACGTTATGGCGTAAAAGGAATACACATAGATACATATATATATAAATATATATATATATATTTTGTTTTGAACTAATGCCCCTCGATGCTTCCAAGTCGGCTTGATCGAATTATGTTATCAAGCGCGGCGCATGCAGCCCGTGCACATTCTCGATGGGCGGACAGTGGGTGGCGCCCGGCGGACCCCAATCGTGCAGGCCGCGCGAATTGGCCAAACGATGCGTCAGCCGATGGGCAATGCTGAAGCCGCCGCTGCCCTCCAGCTGGGTGAGCACAATGATCACCTGCCTGCAATTGGTTACCATAATTAGTAAACAAATCGAGGATGCACACGTAAGAGATACCCTGCAATCAGCTGTGAGCCGACTCAAACATTGACAGTGATTCGGTTCCGGTACCGGTTCGGAACTGGTGCCAGAGAGTTAGAGTAAGAGATACCCTGTAATCAGCTGTGAGCCGACTCAAACATTGTCAATGATTCGGTTCCGAACTGGTGTCAGAGAGTAAGAGCAAGAGATACCCTGTAATCAGCTGTGAGCCGACTCAAACATTGACAGTGATTCGGTTCCGGTTCCGAACTGGTGCCAGAGAGTAAGAGTAAGAGATACCCTGTAATCAGCTGTGAGCCGACTCAAACATTGAAATTGATTCGGTTCCAGTTCCGAACTGGTGCCAGAGAGTAAGAGTAAGAGATACCCTGTAATCAGCTGTGAGCCGACTCAAACATTGAAATTGATTCGGTTCCAGTTCCGAACTGGTGCCAGAGAGTAAGAGTAAGAGATACCCTGTAATCAGCTGTGAGCCGACTCAAACATTACTTTGGTCTACTTTTCTTTAGGGTTCCTAATTCGGGTAGTAAAAGAACTTGGGATTCTGGGTTAAAACTTATTTGCAGAAGAAGTTGCTCAAGGCAACTTTGAGAGGTGTCTTATAGTTGGGCGAGTCAAATAATGATATTAGTTCTAGTTAACTATCCTAAATACGAGCAAAATCTGATCTCCATGAGATAGCTGATGACATATCGGAACAATGGGTCGACAATAGTTTTGTGATATTTGTGAAAAAGCATTGTTTGCTAATGCACACATCTGCCAGGTCTGTGGACAGGGTATTTAACTTGTTTGACTGTTTACAGGGTATCGCTGTGAGTCGGTATACGCTACGCACCTTTGCAGCGGCGGCACGGAATCAACTGTTTTGAGCTCGCCGCGCGTCGAGACCACATTGTAGCTCTCCTGGCAATCGCACTTCACATGAATCCATTTATTCTCATGTCGATTCTCCACCATAACCACCAGTCCAGCCCAGCCCTGGATGGGGTAAAGAGGGGCAGCGGTTATGAAAGTTAGTACATGAAGATGTCACCCACCTTTGTCAAATAGTAGGCGGTCATGCCCTCGCGTCCCTCATGCCGCTGGCCCTTGGTCAGTGTCAGGCTGATGATGGCATCGGCGAGCAGATGGGGCGAGGGCGTTATTTGCTCGACCAGCAGCCGCTTGGAGCTGTGTATGGCCAGTATGCACTGCGGATACTGATGCGGATCCTCGATGCCCGTGTGCCAATGATTGAAGGCCAAACAGACGAGCAAATAGATGTCACGCTCCAGCATCTTGTGGCAGCCCACAAAGCCGCGCACCTGCAAAAGGAAAAGAGAGTAGAAATATATGTATAAAACTGTAGCTTGAATTGGGGCTGGGAGCAGACACTACCTGACGCTTGCTATGCTCGACGAGGCGTCCAATCTCTGGCGCTGCCGGTGAACGTGTGCGAAATATCACAACGCAGAGATCGAGCTGTGAGCGTTGCGATTTCTCCGAGTTGCGTTGACCCTCCTGGAAGAGCGTAAATTCGGCCTCGGTGGGCTCCAGCACGGTGAGCAGCACGCACGAAATGGAGCACAACGGCTGGAGTGTGCCCTGTAGACGCACCTCATTCCAGCCGGAACGCACCTTGCAGATATCGATACAATCAAAATAGTTGAGCACATCCTCAAAGGAGATCCAAAAGACGCCCTCGGAGGCGCCGTGCGGCATTAGAGCATCACGTAAATCATCTGTCCACAGGGCCGAATCATCTGACCAATCGCCGCGCCACGAATAATGTCCCCAGGGATTGCGAAGCTTGAGCAAACGATGTCCCTGTATATCCTTGACGTCCAGCACCGAATAGGCGTGCCGCGGCCGTAGACCCTTGTGCTGGTACTCCTCCTCGTCGACCTTCATGTTGCCGCCGCCACAGCTGGCGCCCATCAGGAAGCGTACACAGCGCGAACTCAACAGCTGTGCCCAGATCAGATCCTTGTCCAGCTCATCCTCGCTGGGCATGGGCAATGAGCTGGCCTGCAACGGTATGCTCTCGCAGGGTGCACCCGTAAGCGTGGCCAGGCCCTCAATGGCACGGCCCGAAACGAGCGCCTCATAGCAGCCATGGATTTTGGCCACCGCCTTCTCGATGAGCGGCACCCAGAGCTGTTTGCGCTTGGCCTGCGAGTAGACCAAATGTCCGCGCTTGTCGCACGGCAACAGATCATCGACAAGCACTGTCGTCCATTTGCCATCCTTGCATAGACGCACCTGATAGGCGCCCTGGGCGCATATCTCCTTGGTAACGAGCACCTCCTTGACGAGATCCTCCCGTTCGGCCAGCACGGCCAATGCGCTGAGCAGCCAACAATTGCCCAGCACACCCTGACAAATGTCCGAGGGCAACGGCGTACGAAAGACCGCCCACGGCGGATAGGCGCCGCCATCGCAATTGATCTCGTGCGGTCGACGCCACTGCACCACCGGATTGCCGCCATCCGCAGCACTGCTGGCGGGATTATAGTACAAGCTTTTGGGCGCCGGCGGAAATGAATCGTCCACGAATAGCTCGCTATTATCGCGACAATATTGTATGATATTTTGCCATTTGGTCAGCGCTTCTGTCTCCTCCAGCTGGCGCAGATTCTCCATTAGTTTGCTCTCCTGCCGGATTTCGTTGAGCGCAGCGACACGCATCGATTTGCGGGCCAAAGCATCCGTCAGCACCGTATGGACCAAACCGCGCGGACTCGAGCAAATGTCACAGACAACGGAGGCGGCACAGTTCTCGTATGTGCATGCCGGGCACTGCCATTTCTTAACCGAGCCGCTGGGCAGGATTAGCTGCTGCTGCTGCTGCTGCAAATTATAGGAGGAGCTGGCCGCGGAGGTGGGCATGGCCATTGATATATTGCGCGGCACTATAGAGCCGCCGGTGCTATGACGCTTGGGTATGGCGCCCGAGGAGCTGCGCTGCTGCTGCAGCTGCTGCTGGGTCTGCTGTAGCTGCAGCTGTTGGATGGCCGTCAGGACCGGTGCCACCGCCGTTGATCGGGGCGATGGACTGCGCGAATTGCGATGCGCCAACGGCGGCAGCAACTGCAGCTGAGCCGTTGGCGTCGGCGTTGGCGTATTGTGTTCAACCAACGTCTGACTGCCGCCGCCGACGGTCGACGTCGTCGTCGTGTCCTGCTCCTCGTAGGACTGGCCATCGGGTCGTTCGCGCACCGTGTCCGCCACCGGCAGCAGACGCATCGATTTGCAGGCACTGCACAGGCCCACCGACAGCGAATTCTTGAGCGTGCAATGGCTGCATGTCCAGAACTCGCCCTTGCGCAGCGTCATGTCCTCAATGGAGGAGATGCTCTTCAGTTTTGAGCCGCCGCACACAATGCACGCCATCGCCGTTGAGTAGTTGACCAGGGTGCACTTCTTGCATGTCCAGGGCTCATCGCTGCGCGGCTCCGCACCAGCTGCAATTGGGAAAAAGTTCATCAAAGCTTCCAAAACTAAACAAATGTAGATGCCAGCACTTGGTCAGTCAATCAATCAAACAGTTAGACAGATTGTCAATCAGGCAGACAGTTAGACACTCAGTCGTGCAATCAATCACTGTCAATTATTTAATTAGTATGTCAATCAGCCAAGCAGTTGGTCAATCAGTCGGTGGGTTTATGGTCAGTCAGCCACTTGGTCAGTCAGTCAATCATTCAGTTAGACAGACTGTCAATCAGGCAGACAGTTAGACACTCAGTCCTGCAATCAATCACTGTCAATTATTTAATTAGTATATCAAGCAGTTGGTCAATCAGTCGGTGGGTTTATGGTCAGTCAGCCACTTGGTCAGTCAGTCAATCATTCAGTCAGACAGATTGTCAATCAGGCAGACAGTTAGACACTCAGTCGTGCAATCAATCACTGTCAATTATTTAATTAGTAAGTCAATCAGCCAAGCAGATGGTCAATCAGTCGGTGGGTTTATGGTCAGTCAGCCACTTGGTCAGTCAATCAATCATTCAGTTAGACAGACTGTCAATCAGGCAGACAGTTAGACACTCAGTCGTGCATTCAATCACGGTCAATTATTTAATTAGTATGTCAATCAGCCAAGCAGTTGGTCAATCAGTCGGTGGGTTTATGGTCAGTCAGCCACTTGGTCAGTCAGTCAATCATTCAGTTAGACAGACTGTCAATCAGGCAGACAGTTAGACACTCAGTCGTGCAATCAATCACGGTCAATTATTTAATTAGTATGTCAATCAGCCAAGCAGTTGGTCAATCAGTCGGTGGGTTTATGGTCAGTCAGCCACTTGGTCAGTCAGTCAATCATTCAGTCAGACAGATTGTCAATCAGGCAGACAGTTAGACACTCAGTCGTGCAATCAATCACTGTCAATTATTTAATTAGTATGTCAATCAGCCAAGCAGATGGTCAATCAGTCGGTGGGTTTATGGTCAGTCAGCCACTTGGTCAGTCAATCAATCATTCAGTTAGACAGACTGTCAATCAGGCAGACAGTTAGACACTCAGTCGTGCAATCAATCACTGTCAATTATTTAATTAGTATGTCAATCAGCCAAGCAGTTGGTCAATCAGTCGGTGGGTTTATGGTCAGTCAGCCACTTGGTCAGTCAGTCAATCATTCAGTCAAACAGATTGTCAATCAGGCAGACAGTTAGACACTCAGTCGTGCAATCAATCACTGTCAATTATTTAATTAGTATGTCATTCAGCCAAGCAGATGGTCAATCAGTCGGTGGGTTTATGGTCAGTCAGCCACTTGGTCAGTCAGTCAATCATTCAGTTAGACAGACTGTCAATCAGGCAGACAGTTAGACACTCAGTCGTGCAATCAATCACTGTCAATTATTTAATTAGTATGTCAATCAGCCAAGCAGTTGGTCAATCAGTCGGTGGGTTTATGGTCAGTCAGCCACCTGGTCAGTTAATCAATCATTCAGTTAGACAGTCAGCCAAGCATGCAGTCAGGTCAATCAGTGTGAGAGTTAAACAGGTTTTCATTCAGTCAGTTGATTACATAGTCACTCAATCAATCAATCAATCAGTCATTCATTCAGTTGGTATACAAATCAGCCTGAAGTCAGTCAGTTTGCGGTCAGACACACTCAGTCAGCCAGTTTATCAGTCAATCAATCAGACAGTCAGTCAGTCAGCCAGGCATGCAGTCAGGTAGTTAGTCCTTGAATTAGTCTATCAATCAATCAAACAGTTAGTTAGTCAATCAGCGTGACATTTAAACAGGATTTCAGGCAATCAGTTGATTAGATAAGTCAATCATTCAGTTGGTATACCAGCCAGCCTGACATTTAGTTTAAAACTCAGTCAGTTTTCGGTCAGATATTCTCAGTCAACCAGTTTATCAGTCAATCAATCAGACAGCCGATAAATCAGGCTAAGAATAAGGCTAGCTAATCAGTTGGTCAGTTAGATAGTTAGTTAACCAGCGTGCGACAGGAATGCAATCAATCAGTTGATTATAGAGTCAGTCAGTCAGTCAATCAGTCAGTCAATCAATCACTCAATTAGTTAAATATACAGCTTAGGGACTTACTGGCTGCTGCTGCTGCTGATGCTGGGGAGGACTCTGCCGTTTGCTTGGATAGTGTCTCGCACATCTCACAGGACTCGGACCAGAGACGATTGTAGGCATAGGAACATTTGCCGCATGTCCACATCTTGCGGCTGCCGTGCAGCAGCATCGATTGCGGTTTATTGTCGTTGCGTGCCGCTGGAGGAATGAGCCGATTGCTGGCCGGGATCGGTGCCAAAACAGCTGCTGCCTCATGCGTGCTGTACACCAGAGAGAGAGAGAGAGAGAGAGAGAGGGGGAGAGAGAAAGGCAGAGTGTATTAGTGCGAGAGGGAAGCAATGCGTACGCACAATTAAGTGCCAGGTAATCAAATGAAAAATCAAATAAAATTACAAAAATTACATTTAACAATGTGCAAAGCAAAAGAAGCGACTGCTGCTGCCGCTGCCGCTGTTAATTGCCATTAAATTAAAAAAAAAAAAAAGAAACAAAGCCTCGACAAAAACAATGCACAACACAAAAGTTTTGTTATCTTCGGCACACCGAAGTCACAGATACGCTTGCTGTACAATTTGGTGAGTCAGCCGCAATTAGAAATTGTGAAGCTGATAATAGTCCATGTATATACCCTGTGCACAGGTCTATCAAACGGGCATGCCAGCCTCAACTATGAACATGACTAAGCTTAAAGTTAACTCTGTTAGATTAGCCTAGATAACAAGCTTTCAATTACTTTAAGGTAATTAAAGACAATCCAATTATTTTCTATTAGTTAACATAAATAACTGTGTAAATGAATTGATTAATTTTTCAATTAATAAACAAGGCTTACAAGACATTAATTACTTTCAATTACTTTGCTCAAAAGTACAAGACATTAATTACTTTCAATTACTTTGCTCAAGTCTTCATAGTCACAGTTTGTGTAATTAGCAATTAATTCAACTTAATTAAATGCCTGGCAAGTAAAGTAATTAGCCTTAATGATTAGTATAACTATGATTCTAGGCCCTGGTTACACAGTTAACATAATTAAACTGCCGTAATTTCTATTATTAACAATTACTTGAGTAATTAAACGAGCACTGTGGCAATTACTTAAGCAGTTAGTGCAAATTACAAACAATAAAATTGCAGCAGAAAAAGTAATTGCAATGTTTAAATTAAATTAAAATTATTCAGAAGTAATTAGAAAAAGTAATTGCAAGGTTAAAATAAAATTATAATTATTGAAAAGTAATTAGAAAAAGTAATTGCAATGTTAAAATTAAATTAAAATTATTAAAAAGTAATTAGAAAAAGTAATTGCAATGTTAAAATAAAATTATAATTATTGAAAAGTAATTAGAAAAAGGAATTGCAATGTTTAAATTAAATTAAAATTATTAAAAAGTAATTGCAATGTTAAATTTAAATCAAAATTATTAAAAAGTAATTAGAAAAGGTAATTGCAATGTTAAATTTAAATCAACCTGCGGTTAGGGTATACAAAAAAAAGTCAAGCGTGGCGCAAACTATAAACGAAATCAACCAAACGCACATACATACAAATCGAGATATATATATATATATATAAATATATATATATATATATGCATGTATATGCACAATTGCGTATGAGTAAGCTCTGCGCAGTAAGGAAGAAAGAGCAGCAAATTAGAAAAATATTAAAACAAAAGCGAATTGATAAGTTGTTGTTGCTGTTGTCAAGAGGTGTCAAATGTCGCTTGCTGTTGGCTGACAACAACAACTATTGCTAGTTGTGTTTGTTATTGTTATTGTGATAATTGCGTACATTTTCGATTCAGTTGTTTTGCGTGGTCCCTTCCACACCTTCGCGTATATCGAATGCTCGGATGCGTGATAAAAATCAGTTGCCGTTGCAACAGTTGCCGCTGCCGCTGCTGCTGCTGTGCTGACGTCCGCTTCCACACTGTTTGCCTCAATGCTGCTGTGCTCGGCAGCTGCTCCTGCTGTTGCTCCTGTTGCTGCTGCTGCTGCCTCGCTGCTATTTTCGAATACATCAAAGCTACTGTTGTTGCTATGGCTGCTGCTGCTGTTGTTGTTGCCTAGCAGCAATGCTGCTGTTGCTGCCGCTGTTGTTGTTGCTGCTGCTGCTGACGTCTCATTGCTGAGCTTCTTTTTGTGCAGCTTGTGCTGTTTATTAACCTGCGCATAAATGGGTGCCATTGGCTCCGCCCTAAGCTGTTGCTGCTGCTGTTGTAGTTGTTGCTGTTGCTGCTGTGCAATGGCCACACATTCGTTTTCATAGAGCTGCTGATTTAGTTTGTTGCTGCTGCTGCTGCTGCTGCTGCAGTTGTTGTTGCTGCTGTTGCTGTTGCCGCTGCTGTTGTTGCTGCTGCTGTTGCCATTGTTGTTGTTGCTCGTTGTATCACAAAGCTGCATATTGGCATGACGATTGCTGCTGCTGCCGCTGCTGCTGCTGCTGGTGCTGCTGCTGCTGATGACGCGTGTTGCCGGCTCCGACCAATCGTTGACAGCTATGAAAACGCCATTGCGCGGTATGGTAAACTGTGAGCTGCTACCGCCGCCGCCGCCGCCGTGTTGCTCCTGTGCCCTGGTGTTGCTCATGTGCTGGGCGTTGTTGAGCTCCCGCTGCTGCTGCTGTTGATGCTGCTGCTGCTGTTTGGACTGCGGCTGGCGCATGGGCTTGGCAACAGCTGTTGGCGCTGTCGCCTTGGCTGATCGCGACAGCGTTGTTATGGTAAAGTTATATTTCTTCTTGGCACAAGCGTCGCGCACTTTATTATTTAGATTCTTGTTGTTGTTGTTCTGCTTGCGGCGACAGAAGGTATCATTGGCAATGGCAAATCGTGAATTGCTGCACGCAACTGGCGCTGCAGCGGCTGCAACTGCAAAAGTGGACACAGATTAGGCATAACACTAGCACTCAATACCAATCATGACTTACGGCTCTTGTGTGGCAACAAATGTTGCTGTTGCTGCTGTTGTTGTTGTTGCTGGTAGCCGAGCGAGGCTTCGTAGGGTAAATTAAATATGTCCTTGCCCAGATTGTTTACATAGCAAATGTGACAGCTGCGTGCCGAAGCGACGACGACGGCGGCGGCGGCGGCGGAGGAGGAGGATGCGGCAGAAGAGGAGATGGCTGAGGCGACAGCCGCTTGGGTTAGAGCCGTGCTCTTATCTATGGAATTGCTTAGACTTTGCGTGCGTCTAAAGTAGGCGAAACGGCGCGATTTCAAATGACGCCGATTGGAATGTTGCTGCTCCTCCGTCTGTTCCAGCTGCGAATGATGTAGTAATAGTGACTCCTTCGGCGGCTGTTGCTCAACGCCGCTGCTGTTGCTGTTGCTGTTGTTGCTGCTGCTGCTGCTGTTGACGACGACGCCGCCAGCGACGCTGCTGCTGCTGCTGCAACTGTTGTTTAGCTCCAGTTTTGTGCCAGCTGCGGCTGTGGCTGCAGCTGCCGCCGCCTCATGACGTCGCGTGCACAGTGTCTCCTTATAGATGGGCGCCAAATAGCTAACCGTATCGCATATAACACAATGCCATGTCACCGAATTGTTATCCGTATCGCAGGCGCGACATATCCAACGGCGATTCAATGCCGGATTGGAAAAATGACGATATAGCTCTATCGAATTTTTTATATATTTACGCGTCGCCTCGCAGTCAATGCAATTGGCTGGCAAATTTTGGCTATTGCGCTGCGGACGCTTCAAGCAGCCGCGCAGCAGCGACTTGTAAACGTGTCCGGGCTGCTGTTGTTGTTGTTGTTTTTGTTGGTTGTTGTGCTCAGTTCTGGAAACAGAATGGAAACGGAAAACGTATGCATGGGCACAGTTAACGGACAATTAACTGTTATAGTTGCTACTCGGACTGGAACTGCAACTGTAAAGGTTATTTCAATGTGACCAAACCAATCCAATGGGTCTCCTCTCTATTTTGTCTCCTTTTTTTTTTTCCACTCCAAATTTGCAATTATTATTTATTATTTTTGGAATTTTTCTGTTGTGCTATTTCGCTTGCGATGCGCAGTTGGAAACAGCCAAAAATTCGGAATCAATAAAATTGTAAACAAAGTTGCGTTTGTTTCGCATCGATTTTCCCCAAAAAACCAAAAACAAAAGAAACAAGAAGAAAAAAAACTGCTGTTTTTGACAGCTTTTTGTTGTTGCTGCAGTTGCTTCAATTGTTGTTGTTATTGTGTATACTCTGTGTACAATACCCAAACATACACGCACACACAGACAATTATACACAGAGAGAGAGAATGAGGAAGAGAGAGAGAACAAGAAAAGGACAAACACGCACGCACACGCACACATGCAATTTCGGTTTTGTTCGGTGTAACGGTAAACTCTGACTGGCGCTTTTGTGTGCACCTAAACACACACACACACGCAGGCACATACAAGTGTGTGCATATGCCAATATAAATGTACATATGTATGCATGTATGTATGCTTACCTGGTCACAGCTTTGTGCTTATCAACAATTGTCGCGACCTCCTCCTCATCACACTCGGCGGCCAGGTCCGTCGCCCCCGCCGCTGCCCCTGACACAGCAGAGCCTGCAACCAGGTTTTCATGCTGTCGCTGCTGTTGCCGAGGTTGTTGTTGTTGTTGTTGTTGCTGTTGATGTATCCAAGTGCCTTGGTGTCGCGGCGGTTGGGATTGCGTTTGTGACGTTTGCTGATACAATGTTGCGGTAGGACTGGGGAATACCTTGCGCACGGTGCCACAGTTGAAGCATTTTAATGATTCGGTCGGATTGATGGTATTGCATTTGGTGCACGACCATTGCAGTACCGATGATATTGTGCCCATATTGCAGCCACTTGTATTAATACAATTGAAATTTCACATTCGACAAATCTGCACAATTCACGACAATGCTGTATGTGATGAGAGAGATAGAGATAGACAGAGAGAGAGAGAGAGGGGGGGCCGGGGCCAGATGCTGATTGGTGGAAGGAAGTTTTGAAATTCACAGCAAGCCGTCGTTAATTGCATTTAACAGTCTCACGCCGCGCGCCCGATTTAATACTTTGAACTGTTGCACCACAACACATATTTAGTATATATTGTGGGCCAACCTTGTTGTAGATACAGATCCTTAAGCAACAATAATGCTAGCGCCAGCCAACCAACCAGCCAGCCCACCAAACCTACTGATGAGCGATAGTTTAGTGACAGTTGGGTTGAGTCCTCGTGAGGGTCGTGTCAAACGTATATCGTATAAAATTGTTACGATTCTTATGCATTCTTTTCTTATGTGTCAAGTAAAATTAAACTTCAAATATAAACAAATATTCTAAAATTGTATGGCAAACTGAACAAAACGATTATTATAGCGGGATCTCTGCAAATGTGTATATTGTGAGCACACAGCTGTCTGTTTAAATATTGGCCATCTCTATGCTTGGCAGTGTGTGTGACCATAAAATGCAAAATTCACACTTATCGATACCGAGTACAATTGCTAAAACACACATTGATTTGGCGAAACGTATTTGATAAGGCGACAAAATTGAACGGTATCGACTAAATGCTATAGTAATAACATAATCATGAATAAAGCTCTTACTTAAATTAATGATTTGAGTGTGCGTCCGGTTTGGGTGGGCTTAAAAGTCATAATTGCAAAATGTTTCCGATTTTGGTGCTTTTGTTAATAAGTATCGATAGCGCTGGTATTTTTAAATTCAAAGTATCGATACTCTGACGATATTCGTACCCCTCGTGCAACAGTTATTGAGTGGCCATCAACGTGTTTTGCTGCCCAAACAACTCGAAATTAATTGCGCCATGCAAAAGCAAAAGCGTAAAGGTCCTGGCAGACCAGGACCACGACCGCCGCCCAAGCCGGCGACCAACCACAAGCCGAACAAACAGCACAATCAGAAACGAGCCAAGGAGCTGTCACGCTCCAAATTGGCGGCAACCGAAATGGAAATCCAGGAGCTGCGCACCAAATACGCTGAAATCGATGCAAACAGCATTGAAAGATTTGCACAATTCCCGCTGTCGCAGAAAACGCAAAAAGCACTAGCCGAATACAAGTACACAACGCCGACAGAAGTGCAGCGCCAGAGCATTGGACACGCGCTGCAGGGCAAGGATGTGCTCGGAGCGGCCATAACCGGCAGCGGCAAAACCTTGGCCTTTCTCATACCCGTAAGTGCAGCTGGACTTAATTAACATTGAATAACTTTTAAACTCACCTTTGACAGGTCCTGGAGCATCTGTATATGAACAAATGGTCGCGCTCGGATGGCGTGGCCGCGATCATTATATCGCCAACGCGTGAGCTTGCCTACCAAATATTCGAGACGCTGAAGCGGATCGGCAAACATCACGACTTCTCTGCGGGTCTAATTATTGGCGGCAAGAATCTTAAGTTTGAACGGACGCGCATGGATCAGTGCAATATATTGATATGTACGCCGGGTCGTCTGCTGCAGCATATGGATGAGAATCCGTTGTTCAATACGACCAGCATGGAGATGTTGGTGCTGGACGAGGCGGATCGCTGCCTGGACATGGGCTTTCAGAAGACGCTCAATTCGATTATCGAGAACTTTCCGCCCGATCGTCAAACATTGTTGTTCTCGGCCACGCAAACGAATACGCTTGAGGATCTGGCGCGACTCAATCTGAAGGATCCCGTATATGTTGGCTATGGAGCAGCTAAGCCCACAGCTGCTGCTGCTGCTGCTGCTGATGATACAAAACCGGGCGCATCAACGGCGGTCTTGGCCCTGCCCGAGCTGCTGCAGCAGAGCTATGTGGTGCTGCCGCTGGAGGAGAAGATAACCATGCTCTGGTCGTTCATCAAGAATCATCTGAAGCAGAAGATTATTGTGTTTGTGTCCAGCTGCAAGCAGGCCAAGTATCTGTACGAGATATTTTGTAAATTGCGTCCAGGCGTTGGCCTACTCGCCCTCTATGGCAGCCTGCATCAGGATCGACGCATTGCCATCTACGAGGATTTTCTACGCAAAAGCCATGTGGTCATGTTTGCCACAGATGTGGCATCACGTGGTCTCGACTTTCCGGCCGTTAACTGGGTGCTGCAACTCGACTGCCCCGAGGATGTGTCCCAGTACATCCATCGAGCGGGTCGCTCTGCACGCAACAAGGCACGCGGCGAATGCCTGCTGGTGTTGACGCCCAGCGAGGAGGAGCACATGATTGGTACACTGCGCGAGCAGCTGCATCTGGATATACGCTGTGTGCACATCGATCCCAAGAAGCTGTTCTCGCCACGCGTCAAAATCGAGGCGTTCCTAGCCCAATTCCCGGAGCTGCGCGCCTCGGCGCAGCGCGCTTTTCTCGCCTATCTGAAATCCGTGTTCCTTATGCGCAACAAGCGGCTCTTCAATGTGCTCAGCCTCGATCTGGATGCGTATGCGCAGTCGCTGGGCCTGGCCGTCACGCCTCGTGTGCCCTTCATTGAGAAGCTCAAGTGGCGACAGAAGCAACAGGCGGCACAGCCACAGCCGCAGCCGGAGTCGGAGCCGAAGCTGAGGGCGCCATCAAGAAGCTTCGGTGCTGGCGATGAAGAGGAGGAAGAGGAAGCGGACGATTTTATTAAGATCAAGCGACGGGATCATGATGTTGAGGGTGCAGCTGTGGACCTGGAGCTGCCGCTGGACGCACAGCCAGAGCTGGAGCCGGAGCCGGAGCTGGTGGTGCCCAAGCGCGAGAAGAAGCTGGTGACCAAAGCGGCGCTGGCCAAGAAGGCAATCAAAAAGAACTTGCAAGTCAACTCCAAGCTCAAGTTCGATGAGGATGGCCAAACGCTGGCCGACGAGCGCAATCAAATGAAGGCGCTAACGGCCAGGGCGCAGCAGCAGCAAAAGGATGACGATGGCGGCATCAATCTAATGTTATCCAAGGCGCTGCTCAACGAGGAGGATCAATATGATAAGCAGCGTTTCCGGGAGCTGGTCAAGCGGCGGCACAAGCTGCAGCGCGAAAAGCTGCGCAAAAAGGCGGAGCAACAGCAAAGTGACGAGGAGCAGGTGGACGAGGATGATGAAGAGCAGCAGCAGCAGGATGAAATGGAGAGCGAGAGCGAGCAGTCTGTGGACTTGTCCTGGCTGCCAGATCCGGATAAGCTGTACAAGAAAAGAGTTAATGACGAGGAGGAGGAGCAGGAGCAGGAGGAGGAGGAGGAGGAGGATGAGGAGGAGGAGGATGAGGATGAGCCGGCCTACAAGAAGTCCAGGATAACGGACAAGCTAACACTGCTGGACACGGAGGCCATTGCGGCCAATTTGCTGGCCAGCTAAGCAACATTTACTTGTAATCAATCGATTTAATAAATATGCCAACAACAACAAATTTGAAATGCTTCACAAATATTTTGGAAAATGCCCACAAATTTATTTTTTTTTTGCACTCCATAGCCTGACATTTAGCTGCATATATATGTGTGCATATACATATACATTCATAAATACACATATATATACATACATCTATGCCTGAGAGAGAGTGACAGCGAGAGAGCGAGAGCGAGAGCGAGAGAGTGTGTGTTATATGGGAGCGCTCGGTTAGTGGAGAGTGTGAGTGAGAGAGAGTGAGGGGAGGGGGCGGCATGTTTTTTTTTCTTGTCGGGTTTTTTCTTTTCTTATTTTTTTTCTTGTTTTTTTGTTTTTTTTTTTTTGGGGCGCATAAAATTTGCTTTTAAAAATATTACACATCACGTCAAATTACATGTTTGTTGAGACATTTGCATTTTTTTGTTTTACGTTTTACTTTTTTTTCGGTTTTTTTTTGTTTTGTTTTTGTTTCTGTTTCTCTTTAGGCGTATATAAATAAATGCATACACATATATACCGTTAATACTGCGTATATATATACAATATGCATGCACATTCGTGTACAAATAATGCAATAGACACACATCTATACAAATTATACTATATATTGGTTATTTTTGTTTTTGTTTTTGTTTTTGTTTTTGTTTTTGTTTTTGTTTTTCATTCTCTTCTCTCTGTGTTCGCGCAATTTGCTTTAAAATGAGTTTTCGCATTTTTTTGTTTTGTTTTTTTTCTGTCATTTTCTTTTGTTTGCGTTTGCTTCTTCTTTAAGTTTGAGGTCCGTTCAGACACAAGATACACAATTATATAATTAGTTTTATAAAAAATTAATGCTCAATTACAAGAAATAACACTTACGCTTATGTTGTCTACGTTTCGTTTCTTTACCGTTTTTTTGTTTTTTAGTTAAAATACATATATACATACACATATATGTATACAAGTGCATATATGCGCATATATATGTGTATGTATGTATGCATAGCAGTTGTATATGTATTGTATTTTTTTTTTTCGTTTTTTTCATATGTAGAGTAGAGCACACATTTATAATAGCTGAGAGCTGGAGACAAAGATTTGAATTATTTTTGTTTGTTTTTGTTTTTTTGCTTGCAATATTGATCCTGTTAGTGGGAGGGGGGCTGAAGGGGCGTGGTATATGCCGTATCATTTAGCGCTAATACATAATACATTTCATCTTTTAGACACAATTCTATATATATATATATATATGTATATGTATGCATGCATGCATGCATGTATGCATGTGTGTGTGTGTGTGTGTGTGTGTGTGTGTATTTACGGTTTCTTATACATCTAAATACACATAGAAGAACAAGCATGCTTTCACACACACACACACACACACATACTCTTTCTCACTCAACACACGCACACGCACACACACACACACACACATACACATACACAGAGATTCACATTTAGTAGCTGGAAATTGTTTTTTTTTTGTTGTTTCGTTTTGTTATCTTAAGTTTTTTTGTGGCTGCTTCTTCTTTTAATTAGACATATGCAAATATATATAAATCTAGCATACATATATATATATATATATATATATATATAATATTCGCAATGCTTTAGTTTACTTGCTTTTTGTTTTGTTTTAACATACATTTTAACATACAATACACAATTAATAAATTTGTTTAAATTTGCGCGCCGCGCTGCCCCATCCCCATAAACACATACACATATATACACACTAATATATATATATATATGCATTTACATAGATCATATATGGAACTATAGATCGGGCGGCGTTACGGATCGCGCAAAACCCTATGCGTTTACATATATCACGGAAACACAACAAAGCCATTAATACAAAATAGAATATGCACATATATATATATATATATGTACATGTATACACATACACACATACACACATATACATATACATATATATATATATATAGTGTTACACATATACATATATAAAAAATAAATATACCCTACTTAACTAATTGGTTTATACTTTTCGCAATACCAAATACTTTACAGACACACACATTCAAATATACATATACACACACATTATATATATATATATATGTATGTGTATATATATATACATATATTGTTTGGAGTACATATGCAATTTTCATACTGTTGCGTTTACAAAATGTTACGACAATTTATCGCGACTTGCTGCCAGGCTTTCAATTATATATATATCTATATATAATTTCTTTTGTATTCTTTAAGATCTTTAAATCGATCGATGGGTTCTTTCCATGCATCCCATGTGGGGCCTACTATTTTGTCGTTCCTCGATCTGTAACTGGATTAGACCATAACGAATGCATCCTTGCCACAGAATAGATATGGGAATTGATCGATCATCGTTTGGACAATATCCTCGAGATATGGGCGCAGCTGCTCAAAGTGTCCCATATCCGTAAAATCAATGGGTATCAATGTTGGCCACCAGCATATGGCCAGATTTTTGCTATCCATGCTGTTCAGCTTCGAGTTGTCCGAGACGCTAGAAAAAAACACACACACACACACATGAAATTCAATAACAAAGGTGGGCGGGGCTGGGGTTCACACTTACTGCACAAAGTGCTGGAATATATATTTGAGTATGGCAAAATTGATGGGTGGTAGTTTCTGTAGCAATGATTTTAAAGCTATTAAACGGCAGCTGCGATCGGTTTTCACCTCCACGTTCAGTTTGGATGAGCCGACGCCGCGGGAGCCTACGCAAAAGAAGCAGAAAATGTACAATGAGCGTGTTAAGCGGAGCGTTTGTTTGTGTATGCTGAACTAACCGGCAATCTCCTCCAGTTCCTTGATAATATCCTTGCTAAAGAGCGGCGGCAAGCGTTTCGAGAAGAAGTCCTTTAGCGCGGTGGCCACCGCATTCACCGGAATGTCCAGCACATCAATAACCGTATTGGTATCTAAATGCAGGATAATTTTGAATACAAATTCATTTATATATATATATATATACACTCACCCTCCTCGAAGCGCTGAAAGAGCATATCGACATGTGCTCTGCTGCCGGGCACACGATAAATGCCCTCCGAGTCCAGGCCCTCCTTCTCGATGAACTCAACGCATTTGATGAGAAAAATGGGTATCTCATCCTTGTCGGAGGTGATCATTAGTTTGCCAAATTGTGCCTCTGTTGTTTCGGTTAGGCCTTTGGCATTCTGTTTGAGCTTGCGCTTGAGCTTCTTTTCCTGCTCCTTTTCCTTTTCCTGCAGTTTGCGCAATCGTGCCGCCTCCTCTTTGATGCGACGCTTCTCCAGTTTCTCAAAGTCCTTCATGCATTTGGCATTCATATTGTATTCGGGCAAATTCTCGGCACCAAATATGCCCGCCGCCGTCAGTTCCGGCACCATTGAGTACTACGGCATTGATAAATTGTATTTATAACGGATTTACATATTTATGTAGATTGTTTTTTGGACCAACCTCTGGCGATTTGTCGCTCTTCATGAACTCGGGCACGACGCCAGCCTCTGCTTTTTCTAGAGTCAAAGAAGGGCAAAGAGTCAAAATCGAATTCCAAGCAAAAAAAATACTTTTTAACATATGTTAAAGCGTTATTTTAATGTTAATGTTATATTAACATAATGCAAAATATACTGTTTAACATATGTTAAAGCCTTATGTTAATGTTATGTTAATATAAGGCAATATATACTTTTTAACATATGTTAAAGCGTTATGTTAATGTTGATGTTATGTTAACATAATGCAAAATAAACTTTTTAACATATGTTAAAGCGTTATGTTAATGTTATTATAATAAAAGCATGCTAAGCTAACAAAACAATGTTAAAAGGAGACAAAATGTTAACATAAAATGCTTTCATCGCGTTACGACTCATAATATTTAAATTTGTCTAACATTGCTTACACACAGTTAACAGCCGCTTTACATATGTGAAAGCTGTTGGTAACAGGCTATGTTAAAGGTTTTTAAATGTTAACCAAAAAGTGTTTAAAGGAGACAAAATGTGCATATGAATGTTAATAACATAAAATTCATTGCGTTACGACTCATAATATTTAAATTTGTCTAACATTGCTTACACACAGTTAACAGCCGCTTTACATATGTGAAAGCTGTTAGAAACAGGCTATGTTAAGTCAATTAAATGTTAATTGTTAATGTTACAAACGAATGTGAATTGGAAATCGAAAATTCGTTGCGACAACAAAAGCGAACTGAAAATGCAGACACGACACATACTTTTCTCACCTGCTGCCGCAACGGCGGCCATGCGCTGATAGTGCAACGGAATCTCTGGCGGACTGACGTAGGCGCCAAATGGTGGTACACGCGGCGTCTGCACCGGTATGGCGACCTTCTTCTTTTTGTTCTTCTTGGTTGTGGCCGCCTTCTTGTTGGCCTTGTAATACGCGTTCTGTTGGCGCACGCGACGCTCCGTGGAACTAGCGCAGCTATCCGACTCGGTGCAGTCTGTGAAAAGGATGAGCAGAAAAAACGGTGGCATATTTATTTAACTAGAAAACCGAACCATAAACCGAATCAGCAGCTAGAAAGAAAACAACAGCCAAACCGGAACCAGAACCGAACCACATTGACAGACAACATTGAAACATGGATAAATTAATATGACAAACAAGGATGTGTGTAAAATGGGATTAAATTAAATGAACCAAGTTTCGAACCAGTTAACCGAACCGAAAATGAACCAATTAACCGAACCGAAACGAAACGAAGGCGAACCAAAACTTGAACCAAATCATTTATAGAGACATTTACATAGACAACATTCAAATGAACCAAGTTTTGAACCAGTTAACCGAACCGAAAATGAACCAATTAGCCGAACCGAAACGAAGCCGAACCAAAACCTGAACCAAATCATTTTTAAAGACAACATTGAAACATGGATTAATGAAATATTTCAAATATAGATGGTTATAAAATAGGATAACATGAAATGAACCAAGTTTCGAACCAGTTAACCGAACCGAGAATGAGCCAAGTTTCGAACCAGTTAACCG